CAAAGCATTTCTGTTGAAACTGGCAAAAGCTTGGGCTACTGACGTCACTGTGGCGGCAGTACCTGCGTCAGACACAGACGTAGTGCAGCCGGGGCCATCTGTTCGCACCCGCCAGAGGCCTCAAGTAGGCCCCCCCTGGCCGACTCTTGGGTGATATGCGGAAACATATTCTCGTGAAAATTGTGAAGAGTGAATATTGCAAGAAGAAACACCCTTCTAGGCAGTGCCGTGTGTGCGCAGAGCACAAGAAGAATAGTATAACTGCCTACATGTGCAACTTCTGCGTAATGCCTCTTCACAAAGGGGAATCTTTCCAGAGATATCACATGAGCAAGCACTTCTAGGAGCTCTGGTAAGTGTTCTCCAAAAATTTCAGTTCATAAAATTAATTAGGAGATTTTATATTAATTTTTAAAGTGAACAGTGCACAAGTTAGGGTAGTAGGTTTAAAAATGCCGGTCCCCAGGGTGATTTAAATGTTTAAACCACTGGTCCACAATGTGTTAAGAGTCTTCTTCATACTTTTCAATGATAAACACTTTCTTGGGGATAGAAAAAGGATTTGGACTTAAAATTTTAATAAATAAATTATAATATGTGGGTGATAACTGAATCTGCACAACACATTGGGAATCCCTTATGAAACACGGTTTTAGAAGTGCTGTATTACTGTAAAGCTGATGATTATCAGCATGTTCAAATTCGGTACGCCACAGATTTAAAAAAAAAAAAGCCAAATTATGATGACACTTTGGATGATAGGCCAATTAAATCTGGTATTTTTATCTAGTTATGAGTACAGTGCATTCAAAGCAGTTCAGTCAAAATTTACAGTTATGAACTTTTAACTCCTTGCAGTAAAATGTTTTATCAGGTATGAAATGTAAATGCATTAAATAAAAGCTTCTAAACCCAAATACATTTAATTGTTCAATTATATGTTCTCTTTGATATCTTTCCCAGCCTCTTTATTATCAATCTCATGACTATATTTTTAAACATAAGTTTAAGGAAAGACACTCCGATATGGGAAATTATAAAATACTCTGTCTCTTCTATCAATTTTAGGCATTCACAGTGGTTAATTCTGATACTGGATTCTTACAATGTGTGGTTGTGGGTAATGCTCCTCCATCTTTAAGGTCAAAATGTACAGGCTGGTAACCTGCCATGCAAAATATAGCATTTTGTTTTGAGAAGGAACAGAGGAAGGGGTGGGTGGGATAGTGGGGACTAGTGACCTATCTAGGCCAGTGGGAATATGCAAACCAGTAAAGTAGTGTAGATGACCCTTTTAAGTGCCCAGGAATGTATAAAAAATCCAACTGGCAAGTGATACTCTTGTGTGGTCACCCATCCAAACCCTCACCAGGAATAATGTTGCTTAACTTTTGCTGTGGGTCCAGAAGCATAGCGAGTGGCATGGAGATCACCACGAGCTGATGATACGAGTAGGTTTCCACAGGGGTTGGAAGCAAAAACAAATGAATGAAGAATGGTGTATCTTAGGAGGGATGTGAGTCTAGACTGGAGCACTGTGTAGGTAGGCATTTGTCCTGGAGGGAAGGGGTGGGGGAGAATGAGGGAGCCCCCAATTACAGGGTTGCATTTCCTCCATCTGGACTAGGATCTGTGGGGACAGTACATGTGTGACATCCTCCCTGCTGCTTAATTGTTTGGATGAGCTTCTTCCAGGTAGGGCTTAACTGGCAGCCAGCTTCTCTATTAAAGATGTGATGCAGGTTGAATTTTATGGTTTCCTGGATAACTCTGCTGATGTGGGGCATCTTGGCTAATGCCATCATTGCCATTGCCCCTGGCTGACTTAACCCTTCAGTGCCATAGTCTGTGCATGGCACGCCAATGGCTTCTGTCACGCCTCTGAAGTCTGTGCATGGCACGCCAACGGCTTCTGTCACACATCTCTGAAGTCTGTGCATGGCATGCCAACGGCTTCTGTCACATGTCTCTGAAGTCTGTGCATGGCACGCCAATGGCTTCTGTCACATGTCTCTGAAGTCCGTACCTGGCATGTGTAGTGCAGCTCTAAGTTTCAGCTCATATTTTGAATTGTTGTTTTTCATGTAAAGTAATTCTTTTGGTATGAAATTAAAGAGGAACTTTCAGGCTATCATTTCGTGCATGCCTTGCCCCACTTTGACCTTCCCGCAGCAGTTGGAATACATTTAAATTCTTTGAAAAAATTTATAAGCAAGATTCCACCAACTGTGAAGAAATCAAGACCATAGAAACAGCATGTTGTGTGTCAAAAGCTGTGTAATGGTGTGACAAATGTGACGTGGAACTTTGTGTGGAATGTTTTCACAACTAACACACCCAGCTGAATTTTTAAGGTAATATGATACTAACATTCCAAATTTTTATATGCTTACTGTGCCAAAAAATAATTTTAAAGCAGTGCGGATCAATACACCGATTCTATATACATTTCTGAAGATAGCGTGAAAATTAGAAAGAACAAAACATCAGTTTTTCCTAATTTATTACACTTTAAGTGAGATGTTGTATTTACCATTTTAAATGTTTAAATATCCTCCATCCCAAGGAGTGAGTAGGAATTAAATGTTCTGCATCGTTGAAGTGTTAATGCTCTGCTACAGCCGATCATGGCACAGTCAGAGGTCCATCCACTGATCCTCTTACAATCTTCAATTAAACAGATCATATCACCATGGCAGATGGTCCCACATTTAAACAGGATCATGTTGATTTCCAAACTTTTAGTTCTCATTGTACCCTCTCCCACTCCTCTGTTTATTTTCAAAACAAAGCATACAGAGCGTCTCAACAACCTCATATTTCAACCCTCAAGATGAAGGCAGTATGCACTTCAAAACTGTTGGCAACATTTCCCACAACCACATGGTTGAACAGCCCAAGAAGAGAATAGATACTGTTAAAAGGCAGATGAACTCCTCTGAATGTGATCTCAACCAGTTCCCCTCTTGTTAAATGGTTAATGAAAACAACTTCAAACAAATTTCACTAACCGATGAAACTCACGTCCAAGTGTCTGGGCAATTGAACGTCCAACACTGGTTTTGCCAACACCAGGAGGTCCTACAAAGCAGAGAATTGGTCCTCGGAGGTTATTTTTTAACTGCCTGACAGCCAGATATTCCAGCACTCTCCGTTTCAACTTATCCATTGCGTAATGGTCTGCATCCAAATCCTGAAAAACAAGTAAAGCAATTGAAGAAAGTCGTCTTCTGGGTTTAGGCACCGTGTATTCGTCGTTTTGGCCGACGTTTCGGAGGAACGTAGCGCCTCCATCTTCAGAGCAGTTGAATGGCTTGGAATGCGGAGAGCAGTAGCTGCGCTACGTTCCTCCGAAACGTCGGCCAAAACGAAGAATACACGGTGCCTAAACCCAGAAGACGACTTTCTTCATTGTCATCGCCGTGAAAACCTCAAAACTTACAAAGTAAAGCAATTGTTTAATCATTTTAACACTTGAATGCACTGTGGTACCAAATGCTTTAACATTAAAAAAACTCCACATTTCTATAGTGGAAACACAGTTTTTTTTTGTAAGGAAGAAACTTAATTTGTAAATATTGTTTACATGAAATTGTGGCTTTGAAGGGTTAATGCCAGAACAAGTTATTGTATATGGAGTTACTTTTGTTTTTCAGCACAGGAAAACTGACAATAAGTCATACATTTAAGACAATGTCTAGATATCTTGACAAACAGTGAGAACTGGCAACATTCAGCAATTGCGTGAGAAAAGTTACCTCAATGTGGGCATTGTAGAAGTCACAGTAAGAGCAGAGGATGCTCAGAAAGAAGTATTCCTGACCAGTATAATCATGTGTTCATTCCATTGTGCTAATAGATCCATTTTTACATTGCACAGATCAAATAGCTAACACAAATAAACATACATAACCAGGCAGGCCTGTGCTTACAAGCCATTTAAAACTCACACAGATGCATTCTAGGCTGACTGCCCACTGGAAGAAGAAAAGTAGTTAAGCTCAGAACTACTGTATTTCAGAAATACAAACTAGAAGATAATTTGGATAAGATTCTTCTTCATCGCATGCTATGTCAGCAGTGATGCTTGAACTCTGAGCCAGGACTTGCCACTGAAGGAAGGTAATGGGGAGGAGACAAGAAGAAAAGATGTGTGCACTAAGGACTATATTCAGAAACAGATGGAAACAAGCTACTGTTCATATGAATGCCACAGAGGCAGCAAACAATCAGTACACACTGTACAACCTCCACAACCCATGACTCTTGGATCCAAGTTGACAAGGTGCACAGAGATACCAATGTCTGTGTACAATAATCTACCATGGCTATCATTCTCACAGCCTGTATTCTTGCCAAAGGACTGATGAGCAACTGTTTAGCCATAGAAACTGCGCATCACTGTCTCCCTTTTCCATGGCTGTACTTCCCACAGCTGTGAAGAGAACTGTTATGGAACCACAGTACATAAGGTGGTAAGGTAACATAAAGCTGTTCCTGTGCTTAACTAATTAAGCACTATGCCATGAAGGTGTATGATCAGCTTCATGCCACTGCCACTTTACTCTTGGGGAAAGAGCCCCTGGTACCCACTGGATAGGAGCTTGGATGGACCCCAGAGATGGTCTGGATGACAAGAAAAGAAAATTCTTGACCCCACCAGGACTTGAACTCCAACCACTCAGTCGTCCAGCGTGTAGCTAGTCGCTTTACTGACCATGCTATCCTGGCTCTACATAAGTTGAACAGACGAAATGCATCCCCTGTAGTCTTAGAGACAGTCAAGGAAGTATCAAAGCACTGGTCCAGGCAATGGGTCATCAAAACTAGTACAGTTGATAAATGATGATGCATGTTATCAAAGAACTGGATAAAAAAGGAAGGAGGCAAAACTGCATGGTGAGACTTGAGAACACTGTACAAGAAACCAAAGAAAATGACAAACATTCTTTTACCAGTAAAAAACATAACCCTGACAACAAGAGATATTACATACAGTAGTACATGCAGTAGTTATACTTGGATACAATATATCACAATAGCACAGTGGGTTCTGAGGGTACAGAACTGTTAAAACTTAACCTACTGACAGTAATGTGGCTTTACATGCTTCTCATGACTGTGTAGAATATCCTCATACAAGGCTAGCACTGTCAAAAAGCATTACACCAGATAGTGTCAGATGGCCAACATACAAAGGCACGTGATTTTACAAGGAGGCAGAGATGGCAAAACCGAGACCAAAACAGAACTGCCAGAATCTCTTTGATACACAACTCCTCATGTTATCCAAAATGATAGTAAGGGGGCTGGAAAAATGTCAAAAGAACTTCATCTCTGATGTGCCATATAGCTCCTCTAACAGGGAGAGAAAGAGAAGCAAACTTCAAGGAGTCCACACAGACCCTGCATCCCCAGACTTATTCTGAGAAAATTTCAAAAGTAATAAGTAAGTTAAAGAAAACATTCCCTTGCCCTTTTTCCATACCACCAAATGTACTGTAAAGCAAGATACCACAATAATTACAGAGAAGAATGAAATTAGCAAACTGTTAGACAAGTTAAATTGTAGGAAGACAGATTTCTTACAACTGCTGTGAGAGATTGGCTGCAAGAACTAGAAAAAGGGCATATAAAACTGAGACGTTTAGTAACTATGCAGAAGTTTGTTCATAGGACCTGAACCAGCCTGTGGCATCTCAGTAGGAGAGTATTGCTGGGAATGAAACTGCAGATCAGCTAGCAAGAATGGGACTGAACAGCTGTTCATAGGACCTGAACCAGCTTGCGGCATCTCAGTAGGAGAGTACTGCTCAGAATGAAACAGCAGATCAGCTGGCAAGAACGGGATCTGAACAGCTGTTCATAGGACCTGACCCAGCTTGCAGCATCTCAGTAGGAGAGTACTGCTCAGAATGAAACAGCAGATCAGCTGGCAAGAACGGGATCTGAACAGCTGTTCATAGGACCTGACCCAGCTTGCAGCATCTCAGTAGGAGAGTACTGCTCAGAATGAAACAGCAGATCAGCTGGCAAGAACGGGATCTGAACAGCTGTTCATAGGACCTGACCCAGCTTGCAGCATCTCAGTAGGAGAGTACTGCTCAGAATGAAACAGCAGATCAGCTGGCAAGAACGGGATCTGAACAGCTGTTCATAGGACCTGACCCAGCTTGCAGCATCTCAGTAGGAGAGTACTGCTCAGAATGAAACAGCAGATCAGCTGGCAAGAACGGGATCTGAACAGCTGTTCATAGGACCTGAACCAGCTTTCAGCATCTCAGTAGGAGAGTACTGCTCAGAATGAAACAGCAGATCAGCTAGCAAGAATAGAACTGAACAGCCATTCATAGGGCCTGACCCAGCTTGCGGCATCTCACAAGAAACACTGGGAATCCACAACTGGACTCAAAGAGGCAAAAGGATTTATATCAGGACCCTCTGCCAAAAGAACGAAGGACCTGTTGAAATTAAACAGAGATCAGTTAAGATGGGTGGTAGGATTATTTGCTGGACACTGACACCTAAAAGGACACCTTTTCAAACTGGGACTGCTAGATGACCCAACCTGTGGAAGGTGCCTACAAGCCACACATATCCTATGTCAGGCATGTCCAGCTTCAAACAGGTTGTGATCGACTTTTTAGTGTCAAAACTGCCAGTGATCTACCACCCCCTTGTATCGCTGTACCTCGCTTTAAGCACGTGGTAGCATAGTAGTTAAGGCACTATGCTACAAGTTGAAAGGTCGTGGGTTCAAATACCGATGAGTTCATTGGATTTTTTTCAATTGACCTAATCCTTCTGGGCACACTAGGGCCCTGGGGTTCACTCAGCCTCTAACAGAAATGAGTACCAGGAATTAAATAAATCATTTTCCTGGGGAGTAAAGTGCAGTCAGGGCGTAAGGCTGACAACCTTACCGCCATCTCTGAACCGATTGTCTAGATAATGTGGGACCCTCAACGTTTCACAACCCTATGGGCCTTCATGGCCCGTTACAGGGATAGCTTTACTTTACTTTTTTTTTAATTGGTAAAAATAACAGGACACATGATGTTTGCTGTAAAAGCAACTAGTAACTGGGCTGTGTCTGATGTCTGTAGATCTGTCCAGTTGGAGGGAGAAAGCAACGCAATTGGAAACATCTTTCAACAACTGTTCAGTTATGTTTCCACACATAATTTCTATTTGCTGCACAAAGGTGTTTCTTGATAATTGAAGATCTTGAATAGTAGCTGATTTCTTTCTTATTTTTAAATCCTTCAAAAAGATTATCAGGTATCTCAAGAAAACACTCTTTTACAAATTCCCCTTCAGTGAAAGGTTTACATTTTTTAACGATCATATTGCTGACCTTGAAGGATGATTTGGTTGCACTGTTAGAAAGTCATCTTGGTTTTGCCATCAACTGTTGTTGAGCAGCTAATTTCGATTTAAGTTCTCCGGGCTTGTTTATGAATTTCACTTTTGGGTGGAAAATCAGCATCATACTTATTGCTATGGAGCGCATTATAATGACATTCCAGATTACCCTTTTTTGGCAATGATACTGAGGCGTTGCATTTTCCACTGTATTGAAGTAACTGTTTTGTCTGATACACGCACACAGACACTTTCGAAATTAATAAAATAACATGGGCAGAGCACATACTGTCCCTTTGATTACACTGAGCTCATCCCCAAACTCTATAGACATACGAGTGTGGAGAGTTTGCACAACATCTAAGCACAGCAACTTGTCAACATTCGAATATATTGTGGAATGAATACATTTTATATTTTCATGTCCTTTAAATCGTTAATTATTAGTAAAGAATTTTAATAGAATGTTAGAATATAGATCTATGCTCGCTCTGTAAATACATATTCGCTTGCAACAACAGATAAATGCATAAATATGGCTCCATATAATAACTTCACTTGAGTTATGATCATTGAAAGGTGCCTGATGACAACCTAAATTACAGGTTGAAACATGCAGCCATTGGAAACCAACCAACCAACATGCAGCGCAATTTACACTTACATTAAATAAGTAAGATATATACCAACATATGTTGTCTTCATTGAGACATTCACACTGTCTCTATTGGTGAGATGCAGTTTCAAATGGGCTGTGAGCCTTGTATTTTATGCTCATTGTGATAGGAGTGGCAGAGGTCTAGCTGATTTATATTTATACAGCATGTCCAGAAAAGAACTCCACAGTTTTAGTTATACATATTTGTTTGCTGCATAATCACAGAGTTAGTATGTTTCTAAACTTCTGTGCAAAACGTGTCCCAAGTTTTAGTGACATGAATTCCAAAGAGATGACAGCATTGAACTGCAAAAAGATGGGACTGCATGAAAGTAGGAGTCATTCAGTCATGGCATCACATTAGGTAAAGGTGCAGTGCACGTTGCGCTATGGGGAATCAAAGTCTGTGGTGACTGCTCACTTAGGCAAGTGAACTGAAAAGATGCTTGAACTGATAAATGTATTCCAAAGTGGTATGAACAGTTCAAGAAATTGGCAATGTCTTGAAAGGATATTCACCAGGTAGGAAAAGCAACATCACAAGATGACAAAGAATGCATTCTGGTAGCATTTCAGCACAGACTGAAATAAACTGTTTGTCATGTTAGTCAACACTTACAGATTCCATGATGTTGTGTACAGAAGACTGAAACCATGTGTGTAAAAAACTCAAACCTGCACAACACATCCAACCTTGTGATAAACCCCAAAGGATGAACTCTGTAATGTTCATACTAGAATAGCTCACCACAGAAGATACTTATCTCCAGAAAATTCTTTTCTCTGAGGCCATTTTTCACACACATGATGCTGTAAACTGCCATAATTGCAGGATCTGGGGCAGTGATAACCCGCATGCCCTAATGGAACATCTTTGCAACAGCCCAAGGTCAACATGTGGTGTGGCATCATGTCATAAGGCACTGCTGGACCTTACTTCTTCCATGACAGCACCATCATGAGTGCAGTCCACCTGGATATGCTACACACCTTTCTGTTCCCAAAGACAGCAGGTGAAGTTGACAGCCTCATTCACAACAAGATGGTGCACTGGCTCATTTCTGTGCCACTGTATGCACTGTTTTGGACAAATGATTTCCTCGTCAATGGATCTGCAGGGGAGGACAGATTAACTGGCCCTCATGGAGTCCTGACTTAACACCCATGGACTTTTCTTCTAAGGGTACATCAAAGACACTGTGCACAGCAAGAGGGTGGAGTCTCTTTCTGACTTGTATGGAAGGATTACAGCGGTTATTACTGTGGTGCCTGTGGATGTGGGGTGAGGTGGAATTTTGTTTAAACATCTTTAGGGCCATCAATGATGCTCACATTGACTTGCAATAAATAGTAGAAAAACTTGGAGAACTTGTCTAATTTTTTTTTCCTTGCCACTACAGCCCCAGTGGGCCTACGCCTACCTCCATGAACTCTGTTCACTTCGGTTTTTCTAGATCTTAAAACTTATGGTAGGACTCCTTGGGCAAATGATCAGCTCGTCGCAAGGCCTCTAGCTGTAGACAAACACAGAAAAACGCACAAAAACATCCATACCCTGAGTGGGATTTGAACCCACGATCCCGGCTTCCGAGCGAGAGAAGACAGTGCATGCCTTAGACCGCTTGGCTACCGTGACCGGAGAGCTTGTCTACTGGAGTTAATTCCAGAGAGCTTTCTCGAACACCTGTATTAATACGTAGGCCAAAATTGCTTCAGGGGACTTTAGGTTGATTACATTGCAGATCCCAGTCAGCAGTAATACGTCAGAATGGCACAACCAAACAAAAGGCCATATGACCATTGGAGTGCCTATGCCATCAGGGCCCTGAACAGGGCACTAATTGGGTGTACATCTCTTATGGTGTGAGTTCCACACCTGGGCTTGCACATAAAGACAGTGAGAAGTGTTCACTCAGCCTTCATCAATTAAGCTCCCTACAGGGACCTACAAGTTGGAAGTCACACTGAAATCATGGGAAAGCACCACAGAGATGGGAAATATTCCTGCTTGTGAGGTGGGTTTTGATAACACTTGAGGACCTTAACACATTGTGGACCGGTGATTTAAATATTTCAATCACCCTGGGGCCGCCATTATTAACCTTTATCAGACTAATGTCACCATACGGCATCATTTAAAGTACAGCAGAGTGGCCGTGCGTCACCATATGGGTACCCGCAATCCATGCGTGCGCATAGTGTTTTAAAATCTTATTTTAAGATAGAAATTCTTGTTCTACTTATACTATTTTTGGACACCAGCTTTATAAGTAGATTGTCTTCCCTCCTGCATCATCTAACTGAATGCAGAGTCCGACATCGCAATTCATGCACTTTGTCCGTATGTCACTCTGTTTTCCACGCGAAGCGCACATAGCAACATCTGTCTCGTATTAGCAGGAAGTCAGCCAATGTTGCCGATTTGCCTTCTCTAATCATAACGCTTATAAAACATCACAATTTCAACTATCCACCATGGCCCCATTTCGCATGGAAAAAGGCGAAGTTAATAGGCAGCTGATAAATGTCACCGATTTAGAATGTGGTACACAAGACTGAAAGTACGTAGAAAAAGGGGCCAAGTGCGGGCCTTTCTAAGAAGGTTAACAGTACTTCTTGTGTGGCAGATATGTGTATACACAGACAGAGCCTCTGAGGGACATGACCTCACTCCTGTATATACAGAAAGGTTGGGAGTGCTATATAAGCATAAACATTCCTTCCCCTTTGGCTAAGATAACGCAGTACGAGTATGAATGATGTCACCAGCAGGCATTTATACTGCAGAAACATTTTGTGCAGAAACTGACTGCATATTTGTGGACAGACGCTTAAAATTGGGAACAAAATTTTTTTTGGAATCAGTGTAACAATTTTTACAGATTCTAAAATTTGTAAATTACAATATCTGATTCTATATTCTTTCTAGATAAAAGCAGCGTTTATTTCGTTCGTTTATCACAAAAATTGTAGAAATCACAGCATTTTGAGTAACATGATTACAATTTTTATTACTCTACAATGGCCGGCATTTAAGTTAATTCCGTCCCGCTGCCACTACCGGAATTTAAATGGCCCGTCCGATAAAGGTTAAACCTATTATCCTAACTTGTGCACTGTTCACTTAGAAATTAATATAATATCTCCTAATTAATTTTATCAACTAAAATTTTTGGAGAACACTTGCCAATGCTCATAGAAGTGCTTGAGGGTGTGATATTTCTGGAAACATTCCCCTTTGTGAAGTGGCATTACACAGAACTCGCAAATGTAGACATACTCCTTTCTTTGTGAACTGTGCAAACATGGCACTGCCTAGAAGGATGCTTCCCCTTGAAATGTTCACTCTTCACAATTTTCATGAGGGTATGTTTCCACATATCAGCCGAGAGTCGCCCAGGGGTGACCACATGAGGCCTGTGTGGGGTGGGAGTTGATGGGCCTGGTCGCACTAAGTCTGTGTCTGACTCTGGTTCCGCTGCCACCATCTGGTCTGTAGCCCAGGCCTTTGCCAAATTCATCAGAAATGCTTTGTATTTCAATTTTGAATCAGGGTTTAGATTTTTGTGTTTTTCTTTAGATTTTTTACTGTCCCCACAATGTTAGTCCCCGCATTATCGTCGGAGCTACTGTCACATTTACTGTCTGTGGCCACAATTCTTTGTTCTCCCGTCACTGCCGCTCTCTGAATCACCATTACTACGCATCTCACAAGGCAGGTCAGCTAGCTCATCGAAGAAGAATTTGTCTTTGTCATACTCCACCACTAACTACTGACTGATACATACAGCTCGAAGAGCAGCAATGCATTTTCATTTATAGTGGGTTAAGAAAGCAGTGAGGTCAAGTTACTGACAAGTAAGCAAACATTCCAGAGTTTTATTATGCCATTGCGTGCAACTTGGGTGATGCCAGAGCAAGGTATAGTGTGTTACAACCTAACGTGTCCTAAAATCATGATATCATGCGACCGGTCCTCAATATGTTAAACAACCTCCCTCCATCAGAATGAGAACCAACCTAGGAAAATAAGGCTGTCATCTGCTGATGACAAGATAAAATATTTAAACAATCTCAGTAAAGTAGTCCTTGTGGTTAACTAATTAAGCACTACGCAATGAAGATGTATTGGGGAATGGATATAGAGATCCACTTTTTCTTGACCTTGGCATTAGTTGGAGGTCAGTGGTCAGCTTCACGCTGCGACTGCTTTACCCACAGGGAAAACGGCCCTGGTACCCATTGGATAGGAGGTTGGGTGGATCCCAGAGCCAGTCTGGACAACATGGAGAAATTAAAATTCTTGACTCCACTGGGACTTGAACTCTGACTCCTCGGTCGTCCAGCAAGTAGCCAGTCGCTATACCGATTGTGCTATCTCAGCTCTCTAATAATCTAAGTGCAAACTTCAAAATGTCTCATGAGACAGTTTCAGTCAAAAAAGTGTAAAGACTGTAGGAACAATGTTGTCTAAGAACTATAAATGATGCACGATGCCTACATAATGCCTGCAACAAGTTTTCAAGGCTTTAACTTCATCCTCAGCATTGCATTTAAAATTGCAATATGCACTCCACCTATATCCTAAAGTACTATATAATTTTCATATTATTGTGAAGTAGAAAGCGTTGTTTTAAATACAAAATTTGATGGCAGATTTGATATTCTATATTTCTTCTTTTTGAGGACCTGGTGGTCAGAGAGTATGACATCATAGGCTCATTCTGATGATTCTGAGTTTGATCCCTAGTTAGAGTATTTGCAGAGTGTTCTGATTCTGAAACCTTCACCTCTGGCAAAGATAAAATTTCAGAAATGTGAGCAGGAAATTCTGCATACTGATCTGACAGGGAATGGAACTCAGAACCCTTGGAATGAGATTCCAGTGTCTTAACCCAAGACTATTAGATTTAGGAAGATTAGTTAAAGACTGCTGATGAAATTTTATAGCACCAGCTAGGAGCCGAACTATTTCTTGCCATAACTCACCTGTCTGGCCTTATTGATATCAAGCGTCTCAGGTGATGATTTTGACCATGGAAGTTCTGCCATCAGTTCTACATAGGTGCGTATGATACCACTCTCAGGGCTCATTGATGCTAATTTCTTTAATCTCTGCAATTCCTTCATTGCCACTTTAGAGGCATGTGGAGGTAACTTGGCAGCCCTTGAAAGGAAGAAATGTAAAGAATCTTTTAGAGTTCAACCTTAAACTTGGCCTTCAGCTAATGTGCAACCCAAACTGACCAGTATGGATCAAAGTATCATTTTAGGCTTAAACTGCATATGTAAAGTCTAGAAATGAATGGAACATCTACTGACCAACTGCTGCATTATTGTGATAGTGCATGAGTGCTGTCTCGTCAGAAACAGGAAATCTGGAATCCCTGTTCATGAACGATAAATGTTAATCAAAATCCATCCTCAAGAAGTATACGGACAATTACTTTGTGTATATCTTTTACCTAAAATACAAAAACTATGGTCAGTTAACCAAAGGGAATAAGAACAGGCCAGAAGAAATAGACAGTTCACCATACAGGCAACAAAGATCAAAGACAAAAGTAGGCAATGGAATTTCTGTCACAACACAAAGGATTTACAAAACTACAGTAAAACTTGGTTATAGCAACATCGGTTTCTGCGACACCTTGTCTATTGCGTCAAATATTCAATGGTACGAACTAATTCCTCATAAAGCAACTGTTTTTATACCTTGCTTAGTACGACATGCACAAATGCATCAACCTCGTATGTAACGTCATTTTCATTCCTGAATTTCTCTGATATGGACATTGAACGTAATTTAGAAAGTGTGTATTGGGCAAGTAACAGGAAACAGATGAAGATAACTGATTACTGTACTCGTATCTAGGTACAGTAAGGCACAACAATTGATGTAATCTACTGTAATTTGGTGAGTAGGCCTACCTTTAATATACAGTATTAGTGCGGTGTGTATTGTCAGTGAAAAGCGCTGTAATATGTCTTTGATATTACACATTTGGGCAATTCCACGTTAATGTTACGTTAGTCTGTACTTAACTACGTATTTCACTAAAAAATGCAATTTGGTAGATTTTTACGTGACTAACATAAGGCTACTGTGGAAGTGCCCATTTCGGTTACAACGACATTCGTTTATAACGACACTATTTTTAGGTCCCTTTGATGACGTTATAACCAAGTTCTACTGTATATATTGGTGACTGCATATTAAATTATAGGAATTAACACTGTTATAAAGCAGGAAGATCAAGATTTGATATAATACTGATAACACAAAATAATCTTCACACTGTAAATATACTTATAAAAGGAGAACACTGTAATTAAAGAGGAAAAAATAATTTGGTCAGAATTACTAGGTAAATATGGATTTGAGATATACATATATACACCAAGAGCTTAAAAAAACCCACAAAACCAGGATGGTTCACTTGGTATAATGAATGTGATATGGGTTGCATGACCAAGAAATTGGGGTTCGGTTTCTGGTGTGGGGAACAGATATCTCTCTTCTTCACATCATCCCAGACTGATTCTGGGGTTCACCCAGCTTCCTATCAAATGGTTACCAATACCAAACAATGAATCTCTCTTGTCCTCCAGGTTAGACTGTCTTCATTTCTTGTGGACTTGACAACTCTGCCTAAATTAATTAAATTAACATATAAAATTTATCTATATAATTCCAGCTACATTCTGACTGGTTCTTGTATTTCAGTTTTGGCTAACTGGTACCTTCATTCCCCAAAAGAAAACACACTCAAGTAGTTGGAGTAATGAATGTTTCTCTATTAAATAGAAACATCCATATTGTGTGTTCCTCTGAAAGATTTATAACAGAAGCTGTTCATCCCATGCCCTCTTTCTGTCTTGGATGACTTGGAATGGCACAGAACACAGAAATCCTACTGTTAGTGTCAACGGAAGGGCAATGGGCAGCACACACGTGTTTTGTAATCTTATACACAGTGTGTCCAGGTTCTGTTAGGACTGTGGTCATTAAAAATACAAGACATGAATTATTTTCAAAATTCCACTCTTTTTACTCAAAAGAGTCTCCTTCTGAATCAATACATAGCTGGAATCGATTGAAAAGTTTTCAAAAACAGTCACTGTACTCCTTTTGTGGAATCACATTTAAAACTGGAGTACATTCCCTTTGGATGTCCTGGACGGTGTCGTGAAGGTCTCCTTTCATCGCCCACTTAAATTTTGGGAACAACCAGAAATCTGCTGGAGCCAAATCTGATGAATACGGAGGATGACCAAGGACTGTGATAGCTTTTCTGGTCAAAAAATCGCGCATGATCTTCGATTTGTGGGGTGGGGCATTGTTGTGGAGGAGCGACCAGGAACCTTGTTCTCGATATTCAGGTCGAATTCGAAGACTTCTTGCCCACAAACGATTAAGGACTCCAAGAGAATAATAATCAGAATTCACTGTTTGACCTTCTGGCAGAAATTCCTTGTGAATGATTCCTTTGGAATCGAAGAAAACAGTTAGCAGTGTCTTTATTCGATTCTTTTTCATGCGCATTTTCTTTGGTTTCGGCTTCTTTCGGCCCAACCATGCCTCACTCTGACACTTTGTGAGAGGCTCATATTGAAAACACCATGTCTTGTCACGAGTAACAATCGATTTTGTAAATTCTGTATCACTTTGGGCCGACCGTAACATGTCTTTGCAGTGTTCCACTCTGGCATGTTTTTCATTGCCTGACAGTGCGTGCAGTACAAATTGCGCACAGATCTTCCGTTTGCCCAAATCCTTGGTCAAAATTTGATGCACAGTACTTTTTGGTACTCCCAAAAGCTCCTTGATGAGCCTTGCAGAAACACATCTGTCTGATGCAAGAATTTCGGTCACTATCTTCACATTTTCTTCAGTGCGACTTGATCTCAGCTTTGATGCAAGTGGAGCATCTTCAATGTTCTCCCTCCTGTCACAAAATACAGCATACCATCAAAAAATGTTCAAGTGACTCAAACAATCACTACCGTATACACTTTTCATCATTTTGTATGCTTCTCTGGCTGTTTTGTCTAACTTCAAACAAAATTTGATGTTGGCTATCTGTTCAACCGCCATTTTCCGAAGAGCGTCAGAACAGTACTGTTACATGCAAGGTCAGAACACATGATGCAGTGATGCTTGCGCTTTGAAGTTATAGACAGCCACAGCCGAAACTTCAAGAATCTTAACGACACAACTTGCCAACAGATGGCATTGCAGGGCAAAATTTAAAAAAATGAGTCCTAATGGATCCTGGACACACCGTGTATTCCTTCACTAAACCTGTGCTTTGTAGAATTAATACAATAACGAATGTATTTACTCTCCTTTTTACAAAATGCATCTGGCAGAAACTTGTAACATCCTGATTGGAGTATGACTGTATCCTTCATGTGCAGGCACATTTCCTTATTTTGTTATGCTGTATCATTAGGATGGCAACTGAAACTGATATCCATCCAAACAACATGAACAGTAAAGATGGCTTTTGCTTAAGCAAATCATTGCTACTTCCTTTTATTGCGGACTGCAATGTTTACAGCCCTTACTTTGTGGCATAACTATGCCTCCCACTGGTCACTCACATTGCTTTTCTCCAACTTTCCCTTTCTCTCCACTTCTGCCATACATGAACCTTGCTTCTACAGGGTGCGGCAATAAAGAAACCGCATTACTTTTATGACTCATTTCCGGCCACGTCGATGACGAAGAGGAGGGTAGGGCATTGACCCATGGACTTCCCTCTACCGTCACATAAAGTTTCATTCAAGCGCATCGGTCAGTCTGGCCGCGACCATTGTTAGAAGCGGATCGTGTGTCTGAGCTCTGTCGGAATAATGCTGAGTGCTAATGTAGAACAACATGTTAACATCAAATTCCTCACAAAACTTGGAAAATTTGCCACTGAAACTTACAATTTGTTGACAGAAGTATATGGTGATCAGTGTCTATCTCGCACGCAAGTTTTCGAGTGGTTTAAGAAGTTTATGGAGGGTAGGAAAAACGTCGGGAACGATCCAAAATCGGGCCGTCCTCCCACTGCGAAAACTCCAGAGAATGTGGAGAAGGTCGCTAGAATTGTTCGAAGAGATCGTCGACTGAGCATTCNAACTGAGCATTTGAGCAATTTCTGAACTTACCAACATCAATAAAGAAAGTGTTAGATTTTGCACAACGATCTGGGCATGAAAAAGGTGTGCTAAAGTGGTGCCAAAAATCTCCTTACCCCCCAGCAAAAGGAACATCGAGTGAATTGCTGTGTTGACACTCTTGAAAACATTGAAAATGATCCTGATTTCTTCCAAAACGTAATTACGTGTGACGAAACTTGGATTCTTCAATATGATCCAGAGACTAAGCGACAATCCATGCATTGGAAGAGCCCCAAATCCCCTAGGAAGAAGAAAGCGCGCATGAGCAAGTCCAAATTCAAAGCAATGATGACTGTTTTTTTCGATATCCGGGGGGTAATCTACATTGATTGGGTGCCTGAAGGTCAGACTGTCAATCAGGTTTATTATAAAAATGTTTTGACGACCCTCCGTGAACGTGTGCGACGAAGGAGACCAGACATGTGGAAGAATGCCTCATGGGTTCTTCATCACGACAACGCGCCAACACACAACGCGCTATCTGTGAAGAGGTATTTGGCAAAAAAACAACATTCCAGTGATGGAACTTCCATAGTATTCTCCAGACCTAGCACCGTGCGACTTTTTTCTCTTCCCGAAAATCAAGTCTGCGCTCAAAGGGACCAGGTTTGAGTCCGTGGATGCAGTGAAAGCAAAAGCGACGCAACTCTTGAAGAGCATAACACAAGATGACCTGCAGCACTGCTTCCAACGGTGGAAAATTTGCATGGAGCGGTGTAGGGATCGGGGAGGGGACTACATTGAAGGGGATAACATTTCGATTGTCTGATTTTTTTTCGATAAAGGGTTAGAGCATGAATCTGGTTTCTTTATTGCCGCACCTTGTATACACATTCTCTGGACTCCTCTACAGGCTCCTTTAATTAAACCAGTTTTCCATGGATAACTAACTTTTTTGCTTGCTGCATGGTTGCTTGGCTATCTTCAACCCCAAAGATGAAGGAAGTACGTTCTTCCAAAATGTCACTGAACTTCAACCAAGCTGCATGGTGTCACATATCAGAAGACAGCACTTTTAATAGTCACTGCTGTGAGAATATTAGATCCAATACATGCATGTAAGTTCACACTTACTGTGTGTTACATGTACCACTCATTATTTGCACTAAGAATTACAAAGTTCTTTTTCAAGTTCATCATGATAGCAAGATTTTTAAAGTGAGAACTGAGGTTTTCATGGCAGTGAGAGCAGTGAATACTCAGATTGTGGTCTTCTGGGATGTGACACTGTGTAATCTGGTAGATGGTTACCAATGTTTTAAATATACTGCTTTCAACCTTTAGGGCAGAAGTCAATTAAGAGGTAGTAGGCTCCTCCAGAAATTCGGTAACAGTCTACCAATCTATGCAATGTCATGTAGATTCTAAAGGGTTCTGACGATGGTGGATGACACACAGGGTTATGGGGATTTTGGGCTTTTGCCATCATCCAGAATTCTAGGCAATAGAAGACAAGACATTTTGGAAACTGGATCTGTTTCCGTCTTCAGGTGAGGAAGGAAGACACCTACTTACTTGGGCCCCTTAGAAAGAGCTAATTTCAATCACTGGACAACTCCTGTCAGATTTACCCAGCTATTTCAACATATAAGACTAGGCTAGTTCAGCAGGAGATAGCAAGAAACCATAAATAAAAATTGTGATAGAGCACGCACATGTGTGGAACTAGGATAGAAAAGGAGGCAGAAATTTCTGCTACAAACCTAGTCAAGAAAACCAAGTGCATTTCTTTACATTGGTGCTCATGCACTTGGTTTTTGACAGCTAGGTTTCTAACACAAATTTCTACCTCCTTTTCTATCCTAGTTCCATGCATGTGCTTGCTTTATCACAATTTTTATTTTATGGTTTCTTGCTATCTCCCGCTGAACTAGCCTAGTTTTATATGTTGAAATAGCTGGGGAAATCTGACAGGAGTTGTCAAGTGATTCAGATTAGCTATTTCTAAGGGGCCCAACTGAGTAGATGTCTTTCTTCCTCACCTGAAGACGGAAACACATCCAGTTTCCAAAACCTCGTGTCTTCTATTACCTAAATTCTGGACGCTGAAAAAATTCCAAAAACCCAGTAACACTGTATACAATGTCACATTCCACAGAACTGCAACCTTCAGTTTCTTAAGAATGTCAAGAACAATCAACCCTAAAAGAAAAAGTTAGAACGTTAATGAAACTAGCAGAAATATGTTTGAAGAATGTTAAGTGGATTAATTGACAAGGTTCATGTCCATAATACTGTAGGTGAATTTTCATGTTCTACAACCAAAGACTCAGTTTTCTTATTTCATTGACACAGAACAGAGACATGAGGGTAAACTGCACCTCAGTTTTTGGTGAAGTTCCTGAAGTTCATCTCCTTCATCATCTGACGGCACAAGGGCATGGTCACTCCTAGAATATGTGTCTCGCTGAGGTCTTATGATCATCACTCTGTTTTTAGGTTGTATAGCGTAATGTTTCTCCGTACGATTGTTTGGTGATTTGCGTAACATCTCCAAACCTTCAATCTGCCGCACAAGGAGTGGCAGGGATTTCTTAAGGCGTTCTGACAGGTCAACTGCATCCAGCACTTGTAGTTTCTCAATGAAGGAAGCATTCACAAGAGATGCACAGAGATCAGCAAGGTGATGAGCAGGCAAGGTGCCCAGCATCCTCTATAATCAAAAGATAAAGAATGTTGTAACAAAAACAGAGAATTATATCTTCCAGTCAGTACTGGCCATAATTATAGTCACTATGGGGGGACAGTGATTAAACCACTTACTGAAAAGCCTGCTGCTACAGAACATGAATGTGCATGTCAGCTTGAGCCATAATACGAGTACTTCTGGCTCGAATTTAGGGTGTTCACATCTCAATTCAGACATAAACTATCCAAAAGGTTTCTCATGGTTTCCTTTAGTCTCTCAAATTAAAATCAACTCCACATCAATTCAAATTAAGTCTCCACTAACCATCTTACCATGCAATATTGTAAAGTCTGAGCTACTGACGTTACATTACATTGCATTGCATTCCATGGATCCAAAGTTAGTCAAAATGACTGTAGGATGTGGAATATGTCATATAAATACAAAACATATGTACAGTCCCAATTCAGTTCTCACACAAGAGAAACCAAGAATACACAGTGACTACATACAAGGCTATTTAAAGATACATAAGTTATTATCTAGACAATAGGTATTCATCAACAGAGTAGAATGAATGTGTATTTATGTATCGTTTCAGTGCTATTTTAAATCCTGCCTTTTCAATCATAAAACTTTTGAGATCAGATGGCAGGTTATTAAAAATGTTGATCCCAGCATAATATGTGCTCTTCTGAAAGCATGAGAGGTTAGCAATTGGTTTATGATGACAGTGTTTGTGTCTTGTGTTAACACTGTGTACATCCGCATTCATCTGAAAATGTTCTTTGTTATTTGTAATGAAGTATATTAATGAATATGTATATTCACAAGGAAAAGTCAAGATCTGTAGTCTCTTAAATATATCTCTACAGGAATTATGGGATTTAACACCCACCAAGATTCTAACAATTTTCTTCTGCAATGTAAATACCTTTTTACTATCAGATGAATTACCCCAGAAAATTATTCCATACTTCATTAAAGAGTGAAAGTAAGCAAAATACTGATTTGAGAGTGTCAATGTTACTAATATGTAACATGAATCTAACTGCATAACATGCTCTACTTAGCTTTGGAATCCACTGATCGATACGGTTTTTCCAGTTTAAATGATTATCAATATGCAAGCCAAGGGATTTTATGTTTACTCCATCTTCTATATACTTATTATTATATACAATGTTTTATGGATATTGTGGTCAGTTTTTATAAATTTTATTACATTTGTTTTTTCTATGTTCAGGGGCAGTTTGTTTGCAGAAAACCATTTACTCACTTGCGAAAGAACCTTGCTTGTTAACATGCAGAAATCATAACACTAGTGTCATCTGCAAATATTATAGATATTGATGAGGTCCTTAGTATAGGATGGAGGTCATTTATATAAATTATGAAAAGCAAAGGCCCCAAAATTGACCCCTGTGAAACTCCATGTTTTATTATTCCCCAGTTTGAGCAGGTACTTTGGATTTAATTTGATGATTTTATTTCAATCTTTTGTCTTTTATCTGTTAGGTAGGATCTGAATCAACTTAACGTTGCTCCTTGACTGCCAAAAAATGTAATTTTGTTAATAAAATTTCATGATTTACACAGTCAAAAGCCTTTGCCAAGTCACAGCATATTCCACAAACATGTATTTTCTGATTAATAGATTTCAACACACTGTCTGTTAACTTAAAGGCTGCATTTTCAATGGAAATTCCTTTCCTAAAGCCAAACTGTTCTGGGCCTAGTATATCGTTATTCTGAAAATAATGGCTTAACCTACTGTGCTAACTTTTTCACGTACTTTAGAGAAAGTAGTTAGCAGTGAAATTGGCCTGTAGTTTGACATACTAGCCTCATCCCCTTTTTCATATAGTGGTCTTACTACTGAAATCTTAAGATGAACAGGAAAGATTCCTGTGGATAGTGAGTGATTACAGATGTGAGTTAACGGGCTACTGATTAGAGATGCACAAACTTTTAAAATTTTACTTGTTATTCCATCATAACTTGAAGAGTTTTTTGTTTTGAGGGACTGTATTATACTTTTTATTTCAGTTTCAGTGGTTGGAATGGTTTTAATACCAGGGAATTTTCTAGGAAATGCCTCTCTTAAAACCGAAATGACATTATCTCTCATTTCCTGATGCAAGCTTAGATTTTCTGTAATTGTTAGAATAAAAAAGTATTGAAGGCATCTGAAATTTCTCCTGGGTCCTCAACTTTTTCATCATTTATGAGGAGAGATGGCACCTGTTCAGTCAGATGTGATTTTCCTGTTTCATGTTTTATTATTTTCCAGGTTGTTTTTATCTGATTATTCAATTTTGCTATAAGCCCACAGTAATGCTGCCTTTTAGCCTCTTTCATAACTCTACTCAGGATTTTGCAATACCTTATGTAGTATGCTCTCATGTAGGGATTATTACTGCTCCTGCTGTCTACATACAGACGCCTTTTATGTTTACAAGATATTTTTATTCCTTGTGTAATCCAGTGGTTTTCTATTCTACTTACACTTTTATTCTGCATAGGAAAACTGGCTTTAAAGACATTTAGAAAAATATATAAAAGAGAGTTAAATTTATAATTTGTATCCTTTTTTTGAAAACAGGTTCCCATGTTTCATTTTCTAATAATGTTAAAATTGAGCAATGGTTTCACTATTCATTTTTCTGGCTCTCTGTCTTAAGGGTGTTGAATTTTCTTCCACAATATTATTATTTACTATAAGAAACTGAGCATCATGGTCAGAGAGGCCGCTGACTATAGGAGATGTAAAAGAAGAGCGTAACCTTGCATTATCTATAAAGATATTATCAATGGTTGTGCTTGAGGAATTTTGAACTCTTGTGAAATTCACGGTGTGTGACAGACTGTATGTCCTTATTAAAGAGTTTACTTGTTTTTTTCTGACTGCTTTCATTTGAATAGTTTATGTTTACATCTCAACAGATTATAAACTCAGACTTTGGATTGTTCAGATATTTTAAAGTTGCATCTAGTCTCCTTAAATATTCATTAACCTCTCCTGAAGGGGTTCTGTGCAGGCTTAATATAATTAGGTGAGATTGTTTTAGTTACTAGCTGTATTGCACAGATTTCAAAGTCTTGCTCCTTACAGCGATGAGAAATATCAATTTTACTGAAATGTAGATCTGTCTTAACAAAAATACACACTCCCCTCCCCTCTGTAGGCCCTTTCAGAAAAAGCTTGAGCCTAACAGGTAACCATTAATTGAGAGGAGCAGCAATTCCTGTTCAACCATGTGATGTTCACTCAGACATAATACATGAGGGTTTATGTTGTCTATTTCAAAAGAGTGTAAAAATTCATCACTTTTGCTTCTCAAACCTCTGATGTTTTGTTTTAAGATATTTATTGAATTTAATGTTTCTGCAGTTTGTCTGTGAATTTCCAGCACTGCTAAACAAAGCACAAATAAATACAGCATATGGAAGAACTGACAGGCTGTTTTACAACAGTGGGTTAGTGGGTTAATGACTACTAACAGACACTTCTGTTTTCCCAATACGAGGCATACAATCTTGAAGGAAAGAAACGTTCTGTGTAACTGACAATTCTTAACATACATATATGAAGCAGAAAATCAGCAGCATAGATCCTTTCTCAAAGAGCCGAATTACATGAAACTTTTACTACTGGACTGTTAGCCAGAACCTCAGCCACTGACTGCTGCAAGAAATGAGTCTACATGATCAGCTAATACACCATGCAGCACAAACATAGAGTGCATTTCTTAAATTAATAAGACTGTTTAGAGCAGTTTAAAACTGTGGTTGGGGTGGTACACCAGATGGTCCATAGTATTGTGACATGTTGACCCCTACCTCCCCAGCTGCACGTAGCGGTAGCGTAGCGCTCGCGTGATAGGCGAGTAATCACCCCGCATCCTGGTAGCTATGCAACGCGCGGTGACGTCATGAGCGGAGCCGAAGTGAGCCGAGTCCCCGCGACCTTGAAGCTATGCAAAGCGAATCAACAGCGGTGACGTCACCGAAGGATATCGCGGTTGCTAGGCAGCACTCAACAACTCTGGACAGCGTGGCTAGCAACACGGCATCAGACGACAATTGTCCGATCAAGGCTACATAAGGAGCAGCGAAGGCTATTCACAGTGAGTCAGCCAGTCAGTGCATTACCAACGAGTGCTCAGTTCGCAAGTTACGAGCTACAGACGCGTGTGCGATAACCAGTGATAACCAGTTATATCTGGAGGGTGTAATTCAGGGAGACTTGTATAGCTCCCGCGTTGTTAATACGTGAAGACTCTTGAAGATAGTGTTAAGAGATTTTGTTGCAGGGTTTGTAAAGTGTGGAAAGCCGTGACATTGTGATAATTAATTGTAGCCGATATTTGTAGATTGTTCAATAAACCAATTAATGATCTCTACGGCGTATTCAGTAACGAAACACGTTACAGTATTATATAGTCCATGTATTATAATATGACATGTAATAAGTAATCTAAATTTAAAAAATGTGACGAATCATTGTTTAAACAATTTACTTTAAATTGGTGTGCGGGAAAAAATGTTTATGGCAACTATGACTACAATTTTTCTCCTACGAGCAGAAAAAAGTGAAACTACACGCTCTTCATGGCTAAGGTTATGACAGCTGAGTGCTCCACATGTGTGCCAACCTTCCAAGCAGCAGATTGCAGCTACTGAAAGTTTGAGAAACACTGCTTCAGAGAAAATAATCATCACAATAGATGCTCAAAATGCTTCCTATATGCTCTAAAATGAACTTTCAAGTGTTTGAAAAAAACTGTTTAACACTAGTTTCAGTTTGGTGACTTTGACAGATGCAAATGTCTCACAAATATTATGCTTACATTCATTCAATGTGTGGGGATCATTTGCATACGCTTCATATTTTAGGTTCCTGCACAGATATAAATCACAGAGACTTAAGTCTAGAGATATTGTTGGTCACAATCTAAGACATATCAGTCTGTCATCAAATACCTTCTTTAAAATGTTAATTAAATAATTAACAGTGTGTGTTGTAACACCATTTTGCATAAAATAGCCATATATCTTTTCTTCTTCCATAATGCTCTTTTACATTCATTCATTCATTTATTTTACATTCCATAGATCCACAGTACAACAGGTAGGATATGGAACATGTCAAGTGGTACATGTATAAAAGACAAATAAGCCAAAAAATAGAATAAAATAAAATGATGACAGAAATATAAAAAGTTCTATTACTAATAGTTTTAAAACTTGGTGACAATAAACATACTTCATTAAACTATATATAAATTCTTTGGTATGTCATTGACTTGCAATAGCCTTAAACTGAAGATATTCATCAATGGAATAAAAATAATGTGTATAAAAAAATGTTTTAGACAGGCTTCAAATTTCCTTGGATTATGAGATATATCTTTAATATGTGGAGGAAGATTGTTAAACACCCCAATACCCATACAGTACACTCCCTTTTGGTAAACTGTAAAATTTACTGTAGGCAGATAAAAATTACTTGATTGTCTCGTACCTGTATTATGCTTTTCTGAATTTAAAATAAAGAGATCCCTGTTACTGACCACAAACAACATGAGTGAAGAAATATATTGTGATGCAAGACGCAAAATTTCAAACTTCCTAAACAAATTCCTGCACGAAGCCCTGCTCCTGCAGCCCATCATAATTCTTATTATTCTTTTTTGCATTCTAAATATTTTAAAACTGTGGGGCAAATTTTCCCTAGAACATTAAGCCATAGCTTATGATCGAATTAAAATATGAATAATAAATAATTTTCAGAACATTGAAAGTCATATATGACTTGATACTCCTCATAATATAACATACTGAACTCAGTTTTGGGATAATACCTTCAATATGACCTCTCCAGTTCAATGAATCATTTATATTTATACCGAGGGTCTTAATATTAGACACAGTTGTTATTGGTTGATTGTTATAAACGATGTTTACATCAATTGTGGATTTATTTTTAGTTTTAAAATGAATACAATGAGTTTTGTTAACATTTATTGAAAGTAAATTTGTTTTGAACCATTTACTTACACAAGTGAAGGTGTCAGACATCTTATTTCGAAAGTCCCCTAAGCTAGAACCTTTGATTAATATGCTTGTATCATCAGCAAACAAAATAGGTATAGCATTACTGTCTACAATTTTGGGCAAATCATTAATATAAATAAGGAACGACAAAGGGCCCAGAACTGATCCCTGGGGAACACCATCAGTTATCTTTTCCCATGTAGAAAGACTTATTAGATTTGATTTCTCATTGGAAACCTGAGTTCTCTGATATCTGTTATTAAGATATGATTCAAACCATAACTTAGCTTTGCCATTAACACCATAAAATTGTAATTTAGAGATCAATATATCATGGTTTAAACAATCAAATGCTTTTTCAAGATCAAAAAAAAAAATACCACCTACTGGAGATTTACTATTTAAAGCTTGCAGGGTTTCATTAACTAACTTACATATGGCTTTGTTTGTTGATGAATCTGCTCTAAACCCAAACTGTTCTTCTGCTAAAATACTCTGATTACACAAGTGCATCTGAAGTCGATTATACATGACTTTTCCAAAAACTTTAGAGAAGGAACTTAACACAGATATGGGTCTATAGTTGGAAATACAAGATCTATCACCTTTCTTAAACAAAGGTTTAACTACTGCATATTTCAGACGATCTGGAAAAATTCCTAAAGATATTGATTTATTACACATATAAGTTAAAGGCGAGCTAATAAAAGAAGAGCTTATTTTAAGTATCTTAGTAGATATTCCATCATACCCAGAGGAATTTTTGGGTTAAAAGATTTATTATATTTTCAACTTCTTTAGACATTACAAATTTTAGTTTGATGTTTGGAAACGGATTCTTAAAAGACTGCGATACATAATGAAGAGGAGTAATATTATCTGGGTTATGAAAGCTAAGTTCATCATATTTATTAATATTTTTAGCTATAGATGAAAAATATTTACTAAACTCATTTGCTATCACTTGGTGGTTATTGACCAGAGTCCCTTCAATATTTAAAGTAATAGTCTTATCAGTATTTCTTGTTTCATTAATTTATAATTTAACTATATCCCAGATGGTTTTATTCTTGTTCAGGGATTTACTAATTTTGTCTGCATAATTAAGTTTCTTTGCTTCCTTGATGACAGCAGATAAAATTTTACAATATTTTTATAGTAGTTTAAGAGATCTAGATTACTACTGTCCCTACATGCTATGAAAAGTTCTCTTTTATGTTTACAAGAGGTTAGAATTCCTAAAGTAATCCAATTATTACTATTCTTTTTCCCAATACTGACTCTCTTTAAAGGAAAGCTAGAGTAGAAAATTTTAAAATAGGAGTCTAGGAAGGAATTGTACATTTCACTGACATTATCCATGGAGAAAACAGTATCCCAAGTTTCATAGCTTAATTTAAGGAGAAAGTCATTTATTGTATATTCGTTAATGTTTCTAGTCAGCACAAATTTTTTAGTGGGTGGTCTTAATGTAATGTAATAGTCTGGGCATCATGAAAGCCCATTTATTATTGGACTTACGGAATAATTTTCACCCTTGGTAACATCGATAAAAATGTTGTCAATAGCTGTGGCGGAATTATGTAGAATGTGAGTTGGAAAATTAACTACACTCGTTAAATTATAAAATTTGAGCAAGGCTTCCAATTGACTTTTTCTATCACTATCAACTAAATAATTTATGTTTAAGTCACCACAAACAATGAAGTCAATAGTAGCAATAAATAGTTTCTTAAGGATTGTGTCTCATTTAATAACAGAAGTAGCAAAACTGCCTGATGGAGATCTGTATATAGCAATTATACACACCTTTTTAGTATTCAAATATAACTTAACGGCACAAACCTCAAAATCCTCGTCCTTACAATACTTTGCAAGGACAATGCTTGCATACTTTATCTTTTCTTGCACAAATACACAAACCCCTCCTTTTTCATATGATGCTCTAAATAAAAGGCCAAAGAATATCACTAACGTACCAGTCTGAACTGACTGTTCAAAAAATTTAGGTCCTATTAATCATGTAGCGGTAATGGCATGATACACACTGATTTTCTGAATACAAAGGGATACTTCAAACACCTGTCTCAGATCAATATTGGTATACCCAATCAGATGGAACAAACCTTCATCAGTAGAAATGTAAGTTCTGGGTCAAGAGCACTGTCATATGCTGTCTGTTAAAGCCACTTACAAATATGCATTCTCTCTCATAATCACCTTCTTCAACTGTGTGAACTTAATTTTATATGGCAACAGACATAACTCCTTAGTCACTCTCCCCTCTATTTTTGCCTAAACCTGTGCCTGCTGAGTTAATGGGGTATAGGATTTGTGAGGTGAACGTTCTAATTTGGTTCCAATTTTGTAAACATTTTTCTGTTAGCACAGTATTCTGTCTAATGCATTTCTTGTCTAAAAACATCCAGCTGAACCCATTTTCTTCACCAACTCAAAATTGATGATGTAGCTAGAATTTCAAAATCATGGTAGTTATGGCAGAACCTTCTATTAGAGAATATATGTAATTATTATTTTTCATAGAAAAAAACCCAATATTCATGTGTGTATTACACCATCTCAATTCAGCAATGTAAATCAGAATATGAAACAGATTTCTGAAATGTCTTGCGAGAGCAGAAACATGAACAGATCTGATATGTATTACAATGAGTCACTTGCAGGTGCAGACAGCCATACAAGATGCACAATAAATGCACACTAATGGGCTTTAAAAGGTCTCTGTCCACCAATTTACTGCTTCAAGCATGTCCACTACAGCAGTTTCTCTCTTCACTGTTGTGATGTGGCCACGCATCACAATCCACTTTACAGCTGCTCCTTCTCTGGTGGCCATGTGCTGGAAGCTGTCCCCACTATATTAAACTCCCCTTGACACCACTACTTGTTGGTTATCACTTGCTCCATCTGCCTTGTCTTCTTTGTAGTAGGTGTAAAGTCAAGGAGAAAGAGAAGATAATTTGGGTGCCACAATACAGTGTTATGAAAAAGTGGATCCAATGAGGTGCGGGAATAGTAGGATGTCGATGTTTGGAGGGCAACCATGAGAGTTCTGTCTCAGGGCTTAACAGGCCTTGTTTTGGCAAGACAAGCGAACGAAGAAAACACTGGCTCACATCTTTGTCATCAGAACAATTAACTTAATTTATTAACACTGCATAATTACACCCCCCCACCCCCCCATAATCATTGCTAGGCAATGGGCTGTCTGTGTGTCATGTCAAAGGAACATACATTATTAGTTCTTCCAAGAACTTCTTGCTTTATTTATTCTGATATCAGTGGTAAAACGTGACATGAAACTGAGGGCCTTTTGAATACTAGGCTAGTATGGTAATCACTAGATGACCCTGGTGATGATCCAGCACTGGTCTGTAATTATTCATCTGAAAAGCACAACAACAGCAAGCAACAAGACAACACAAGAGTGAACTGGTATTTCCAGTATTTCAATAGACAGTACCTTCAGCCTGGCTACAGTAGAATTGGAAACATCCAACATTTCAAGCAGTTTTGAGGCTTCTACTCTGAAGCTCTGAATGAGATCCATCAGTTCCTGGTTATCGTCATCTTCTGTAAATATAAGAAATGAACAACTGTTGATTCTAATCACATGAACTGTCATATGGCATGAAAAGTGTCTTGGTTATTTCACATTGCTTCCCCAACTGCACAAATTAGTAACAGTGAATGACAGTATATCTTTTGGCTTGTTTTGGACTTCATCCATCGTCTGGTATGTAAAAGATAAAAGACCACAATGTTTCGGAGACTGGATCTGTCTCCATCTTCAGGTGGGTAGGGAAGGATAAACCTACTCAGTTGGGCCCATTAGAAAGAGCTAGTCTCAATCACTGGACCAGTTTATCCTACCCCATTCACCTGAGGACAGAGACAGATCCAGTCTCCAAAACGTCATGTTCTTTTGTCTTTTACATACCAGATGATGGATGACGTTCAAAACAAGCCGAAGAAGAACAGTATACACCATCGTCAGAATCCTTTCAAGTCTATCCCTGTGAATGACAGCATTTAAGAGCTGCAAAAGATGTGGGATGATGGCCCATCTTAAAGTATTCACCTAGCATCTCAGTGAAGAACTGAGAAAAAAACAAAGAGAAAAATGTCAAGACTGCCAGTCTCCATGTGAAAGTTTAATCTCTGAATCTCCTGAATGTGAATCAGGTGTGATACTGGGTACCATGGCACTGCTACCCAGTCAACTCTTCAAGCAGCTAAGAGATACACAGTTATTGAGAAATTACCTACTTAACATACAAGGGGAAACTCCCTTATCACTCATTCTGAAGGTACTTCAGAAGAACCAACGAGGACACTATTGCCACTGGTTCAATAAACAGTGGTGTCAATTTTTTGCTTTTGGATTTTATGTTTTCCTGATTTTAGAGTTGTTATTCTGTCCCAGCCAAATACTCATAAGGACAATGTCAGATTATAACTGATTTTAAAATTACTTTAACTTCAGTTTTTCTGAATTTGCACTTCACTTTTTGGGTCCCAACAATGGAAATTAACCAAATTTAGCATTTACAGTGTTCTATGTTGGAAGATTCACACAACACAAGTGCTGTTCTGCTGAGGTTCCTTCTAGCAAAAAATAGGCAGATCTTTGAATGTGACAGTTTTTGAACCTCGTGCCAATGAACGAAGATCAGGGAAGAAATTACTCAGTTTAAAGAAATGGCATGTAGATGGCTTATTTGCATTTACACCAAAATTGTGCTCACACCTGTACAATTTTAATGTTTTGCCAAAGCTACGGTATTAAGCAATGCACATTTCCTTTATGTTGTATCATATTAAATTCCTTGATCTTATATTTATTTTAGGTAGTCCTTTAAAAGTGTAAGATCGAGTATACTGTATTGGAGCATCATGTTGTCAGATATATAATTATAGGTAGGTCTGTCAACACAACACAATACAATATATAACATCAATTATACTGCCATGTGACTGATTATAGGCTATTGCTAATCAGATTTACAGAACTCTAAAAGAGTTACAGTCTCCACTAGCCACTGCTTAGCAGTGGCTTCCAATGGTGGATGTACCACTTCCTCTGGGTTCCTGAACTGTCCCCAGCCTCAGCTTCAAGCTTCTGACAGCAACAGATCACAACAACTAAACTCCAGTGGTTATCTAACTCATTGGTTTTCAACCTTTTTTTTCTTGTGGCCAACTTCTGAGTTTCATTTACTTCTGTGGTCCCCACCCCACACATTAATTATAATAAATACATACTTTACCAACTGCACTTTTATTTATAACATCTATTATTTACCATATAAGGAATATTAATAATAATAAATGGGTTTATTAACTACAGTATTTATTTATAATAGAATTTTTACTCACATAATGTTTTATTTATTTACAATATATAATTATGCTCCCAACAAAAAATATTACAATAATATTATTGTCCCTTAGGTTTAATGAGATGAGAACAAGCAAGATTTTGTATATCTGGTAGCAGCACTGTTTGTGATAATGAAAAGATCACCTCTCTTCACAGTACCAAGACAGTTAGCAGATGGACTTGACTAAATCCAGATTCAACATTTTTCTTTTGTAGAGGGATTCAAATTCTATTGAAAGCTAATAATTTATTTGTAATGGAAGTTCAAGTTATTATAAAATGTAATGCTTAGTTGTTAAAATATAGTAGCTGGAGTGTTTATAACTTACTCCCTCCAAAGTACATAACTGCCACAATAACTTGCACAGAAAAATGTTTTTTCCAAACACTCCAAATGCTGAACTGAAGAACACCTGAAATTTACTGAAAAGGTAGTGGGAGAAATTTCAAATCATTTTTCCAGTTAACCATTTCATTAGGGCTTTGCCCACTTCGAGAAAGTGAGTACCTGTTTACCAGTAATTGGAACTTCCAGATCTAAGGTTGTGGTTTAAGTACATAGGTTCTGTCCCTTCTAAGTAAGGTACACAAAAACAAGAATATTGAGTTATTGTATATGTACTGGTTACTTGGCATTTTTATTTCTTTTTATATTAAAATTTAATTTAAAAGTGAAATTTTCATGGCCCACTTAATAGTTTCCAAGGCACTCCACTTTTCTGAATTTTGCCTGTGGTCCCTATGAAATACAGCATGGCCCGCATTGAGAACCACTGGTCTGACTCACTACCTCACCAATCAACTCCAAACTTGTCCTGTCTATAACATCTCGGCACAGAACATACAGAAAACAATGTTCCTCTTTTGCTGTTCATGGCTCGCTGCCTAGTAACAGCCATTGTATAACTGCTTATTTTGTGGTCACTGCCTAGCAACAGGACCATATGCCACAATATATTTTGATCAGCTACATATCTTCGCATAAAGGACATCTTTTAACTGAGATGGGACAAAATCCTCAGTAATAACCAAATCCATAGCACACAGATTATAAGTCTTACATACATATTTACACAACTGGGATAAAACTATCACAACTCTCGAACATGCAGAAAAACACATAGAGCAGATGAGAACCATAATAAGTGCCAAGACAGAGCACTGAAATACAACCCTCCATCAAAATATGGAATGATCATAGCTGTGCATATGTTAGTATAGTACCAAACTCATAACATGTAAATACTGCATGTAGTACACAAGTTGTATACTAACAATTCTGCACTAAATACAGCATTCAAACATGTGACGACTTTAATTAACAATAACTTCTTCACTCAATTTATATTATCTTTACATTTTATTATATTTATCAGTTATAATTTATATCACACATCTAATGAACAGCATATACCCCATTTTTATCATACACTCAAACCAAGGTTAGCACAACAAAATATGACAATGTAAACATTGGCCAATATGCAAATTTAGCAGAAAGTTGATAATATATAAACAAAGCACCTGAAAATGGTCTTTATGGATGAAAGATGTAGCTGATGAAAAGATATAATTGATATTATGTATTGTGTTGTATCAACAGACCTAGGCATAATTATAGTTGTAAAATCAAGGTTTTATTGTATAAATGCAAATTATATTATTCATGAAGGCATGAAGCAGTGGCATGGATAAGTACTATCAATGAAATGGCAATTTCAATTAACACAGAGCTCTATGCATATATACGTCACAAATTTAAGTTTCTGAAGTGATTTTGGTCCTGAAATTATAACCTTAATTGAACAAACAACAAGAAGTACCATCATCAACTGCCAGCTTGTCAAGTTGTGTGACAACTCCAACCAAGTATGGTACTTCCATCACAAGTTTCTCCAGTCGGAAACGACACAATCCTGTCACAAGCAGTGTGAATGACGGCTGAGGCCAACTGATACCAGTGACTTGAACAACAACTGCTGCAGTACCAACTGTGTGCAATGGAGCAGTACCCTGGAGCAGTACATTAATCAGAACCATGAACAAAACTTCATAGGAACTTGTACAGAGAGGTTAAACATTTTTCTCAAGTCCATTTGAGGAAAGCTGACAATAACACAATATGTATTTCTTCTTCTTAAAATGAAGATATTCTAAACATCTCTGAATAATGTTGTATTTTAGCGTCCTGTTGCACTGATTTAAGTTCATGATTTATTTAAGCCGTCTTGCAGTGCATACACTCATTTATCTCCTTCTCTCCCTCGCACTACATGTTTCGGCATAATAATGCGACTGCGTGTGTTATACTGTTGGGCTTCCTGGGTATGTCGCAGGAGCACGACACAACAAAAGCACAACACACGATAGTGAAGGAGTGCTCCAACAAAGGAGAATGGGCGTGACTGACGTAGTGAGGGGCGACGTAGCGATGTGGTATCCTGAACAATTTTAATATTTTTAACGTTTGACAATGTATATGATAGATACATATTTTAGTTATTTTAATGTGTGAACATGGCATGCAATGAACTGGTTTGACGTGGATAAGTAAGCACCTGAAGATGGCATTATTATGCCGAAACATGTAGTGCGAGGGAGAGAAGGAGATAAATGAGTGTATGCACTGCAAGACGGATTAAATAAATCATGAATCTCTGAATAAATTTAAATAAAACTAGTTTTCAAGCATCTGCTCAAAACAGTTATTCATGCTATGGTCTTCTGAGTAACACCATGCAGTCACATATGACATAACCACCTACCACACCACATGGAATCATAACCCAGAAGATCATTTTTCATTGCCCTGAGAACCCCAGTCTCAAAGAATTCATTACTTTCCACTGATTTAAGTCATGCTGCAAATTATGTTTTATGTCTGAATACATGTTCTGAGTCAATAACACTGTTAGGTCTCAATCACATGATATTTCTGGGTGCTTTTCAATCCCCAGTCATCCTTTAAGTTTGGTATTGTTTCAAGTCATGGTAGGTTCTCTTAGGAAGATCCAAACTATATTCTGCATTTTTGGGCATTACTGTTCAAAGTTCCATGTTAGGTAGGTCCCTTGTCACCATGGCATGGCACGTCCTCAGGTTGCGGATGGAGGAGACACCCTCCAGTTTTGGAGGGAAGCTGTAAATATATTGAATAAGCAGTCACTGACAGATGACAAGGGGTGGTCCTCCAGCTAGGGGGTTGGGTGTGAGGCTAACAACTCTTTACTGTAACAAATAAGCTTCATACGAAAATGTACACAAAGCCTTGGACCTGGACGGATCCTCTGGATAAACGACCTAGGCTAGAGAAAATGGACATGAGATTTGGCACCTGGAATGTTAGAAGTTTGTATAGGGCAGGTTCGCTCAGGGTAGTGGTAGAAGAAATCTCAAAATGTAAATTAGATTTAGCAGGAGTACAGGAGGTCAGAAGGGATGATGTTGGCATTGAACCAGCAGGCAAATATACATTTTTCTATGGAAAGGGGAATGATTATCATGAATTAGGTACAGGTCTTTTCGTACACAAGAGAATTGTATCAGCAGTTAAGACGGTAGAGTTCGCTAGTGATAGGATATTATATATAATACTAAAAGGTCACTGGTGTGATATCATCGTTATGAATGTTCATGCACCAACAGAAAGATAAAATTGATGACATAAAGCACAGGTTCTATGAAGAACTAGAATGTGTATTTGATAAATTCCAGAAGTAAAATATGAAAATTTTGTTAGGAGATTTCAATGTCAAAGTAGGGAGGGAAGACATTTTGAAACCAATGGTCGGGAATGAGAGTTTGCATTAAATTAGTAATGACAATGGAGTTAGTGTAATATTCTTCGCCACATTGAAAAAACTTACTGTCAAAAGTAAGTAATATCCATAAATTTACTTGGACATCTCCTGATGGGAAGATACACAATCAAATCGACTATATTTTGATACATAGGAGACAGCATTCAAGTATACTTGATGTCCGATCATTCAGGGCAGCAGATTGTGATACTGACCACTACCTGGTCATGGCAAAGTTTAGGGAAAGACTGGCAGTGAGTGAACAAACAACACAGAGTTCATATGGAGAGGTTCAATCTCAAGAAAATAAATGAGGCAGACTGTAAAGAGCAGTATCGTGTTGAAATCACAAATGGATCTGCGGCTTTGGAAAACTTGAACACTGAGGTGGATGTTAATAAAGCTTGGGAAACTATCAGAGAGGATATCAAAATTTCAGCCAAAAAGAGGCTAGGTTACTATCAACTGAAGAAGTATAAGCCATGGTTCAATGAAGAACACTCAAAATTATCAGACCAAAGGAAACAAGCCAAACTGCAGTGGTTAAAGGATCCAAGTGAAATAAATGGGGACAACCTGAACAACATAAGACGTGATGCCAGCAGGCATTTCAGGAAAAAAAGAAGAGGGACTATCTTAAAGACAAAATTAATGAGCTTCCAATGAACAGCAAGAATAAGAACATTAGAGATCCGTATAGAGGAATAAATTACTTTAAGAGGGGTTACCAACCTAGAAGTAACTTAGGCCCCCCATACACACACAGTTTGACCTTCCGATCGACCTTACAGGCAAAACTGTGATAGTTTGGCCTCTCCCTTTCCTTCTCCATACACGTGCAGATAAACCGCAAGGCCGCATGCAGTCTTCCATTTAAAAATTGCTGTTGTGGGTCCTCCTGCAGTAGTATTTTTTAATTGCCCATTTAAATTTTGTTCTAAATTATATTATGTATCATAACTTTTGAACTATATAAGATATAATTATGAATTTTTCACTGAAATCATCTTAAAAGTTGGTTTTATAATCTTACCTTATAATACGAGCACCTTGTATCTGAGCGATGGAAGCAAGTAGTTAGAATTTGAGTTTCGTATTGAATTTCTTGAAACATCCATCTAAACACAACTCTGCCTCACATTCACTACACCATTAAAGAGATTCTTTCCTTTTACCATGTTCTGTGAACACCACACATCTTTTTTGAGGCTTTGCCTTTTTTCTCTGGCTGGAATATGCTCCAGGAAATGTTGTTCTGTGAGTCTTTCAGGCAGCGGCTCAACTGATGGACGGCCGTATACAGGCTGAGGAAAACCAGATCTGTGTTTTTCCACGAGGCCTTGTGCTGTTGAAAGTCTGAACTTTAGTGTGTCCATGTTTTTGTTATTCGGGAGACACCGATATATGACCAATGCGTTATGTACTGGTACATTGAGTAGCCTCTTGAATAACTTCTGATACAACTTAGTACTCTTCTTTCATTCAAGTAAGTACAGCTGTAGCATTTGATCCTTCAGATCCACTCCTAGCATGTGTCTGTTGTAATCACAAACTACCACCGGCTTTGTTTCTTGTTCGTTTGCTTTATTCACAACCACATGCATATCATCTTTGTGGTATGTTGATATCATAGTCACTCAGCTACCATAACTATGAGGTCATGCGTTCTATTTAGACTGACTGGCAGAGCTGCAGTATCTTGAATCTTATGGTTACACGAACAGAGAGTGTATTCTTTTCACAACAGCCCAGTGCAATCATCATCATGCTGGCGTGGTTCATTCCATATTTATGGGCCTTCGAAATTAGGCTTACAGCTTGGCGTATGGTGTACAGCAAACCGCAGGTAGGAGCATTTAGATACCAGCGTACCATGTACGGCAAACCACGCTGAAGGGTTGGTGTTTAGCATTGTAATCTATAATTGTTAACATGCAATAAAAGTTTGATTTTTAATTACACCACTTACCTCCATATCACTGACAAGACTTCAAAACCCGTCCAAGGCCTTGTCTTGGTCTACCAGGAACAAAAAATCTTTGTAGTACCACAATTTCGGGACATAGAGGTCTTCGCTACTCATTCCATATTTCTTAGGCGTCAATACTTTCTTCTGTTCCTTCCTGAAACTGCTTCGTAGATTGTTGATCTTTTTCAACACAGTTTCCTTGTTAACTTGTGTGTCAACTGTTTTCATTTTTTTCTGTCAGTGCTAAATAAGCATTCTCTTTCATCTCCCGGTTGTGATATTCTTTGCTCTTCACCTCCCAAATGCAAGGATGACTACGAAATTGTTCAATAAACTCGATTAAAGAGTCCTTCGACCATGTCGCCATAGCACAAAGTTTCAAAATACCACGAGAAATGACCACAACGCGAAACAGTAGGGAAGAACACGAGACAGCAGCAGCAACTGAGCGATTGGCCTGCCGGTATCGTTACACACGTACGTTCCGCCTGTCGCGTGCTATGTCCTGCAGGTAGAACTGACGGGATTCCTACAGGCCAACAGTCCAAACGATTGGCCGGCCGGCTGCACCACACACGTCAGTTTTGCCTTTCAGTCTTCAACTGTGCAGGCCGAACTGGAGGCCAAACTGTGTGTGTATGGGGGGCCTTAGTGAAGGATGAGAATGGTGATCTGCTTGCAGATTCCACAACATTTTGAATAGGTGGAAGAACTACTTCTCTCAATTATTGAATGACATAGGGAAAGTACTGTTAGGCAGACAGAAATCCATACAGCTGAGCCGTTAATAACTGATCCTAGCCCTTTTGAGGTTGAAAGTGTTATTGCAATATGAAACGGTATAAATTGCCAGGTAGTGATCAAATTCTGGCAGAACTTATTCAAGCAGGAGGCAAAATATTACGTTCTAAGGCCCATAAGCTAATTACTTCTATTTGGCATAAGTAAAAATTGCCTATCAGTGGAAGGAGTCTATTATTGTACCAGTTCACAAGAAGGGTGATAAAATTGACTATAGTAATTATCATTGGATATAACTGCTAACAACATTATACAAAATTTTATCCAATATTCTTCTCTGCAAAAACTGACGCCGGAAGCAGCGTCATCAGTAGTGACTTGAAGCACAGAGCAAATGATGCTCGAGATGGTTCAAGTTCGTATAGCAGCAGGCGTGACCAGAGTGGTTTGAACGGCTGCTGTACTGCGATGTGGAAAGCAAATGGAAAAACTACCACATTATCACTTTTCCTGGATAGTCTCTTTCCAAAAACAGAGATACCATGTATGCGAGATGTTTCCTCTGGAGGCAAAACAATCCGGAGGTAAACTACTCCCCCAATCGGATCTCCGGGGGGGAGTGTTTCTAGAGGAAATGTCATGCAGGCGTTACAACAAGAAAAAGTGCGAAGATCAGAAGAAACAGCATGGATACAAGATTGGAACATGGAATGTCAGGACCTTGAATCAAGCAGGAAAATTGGAGAATTTGAAAACGGAAATGCAGAAGAATGAAGTGTCTGTGCTAGGTGTCAGCGAAGTGCGGTGGAAAGGACAAGGTGAAATAAGAAGCGGTGATTATACAGTGTATTATTCCGGAGGTGAACGGGCTGAAAGAGGTGTGGCAATAGTGGTGCATAAAAGTGTAGTGAGGAGTGTTGTTAAGAAGATTGCTTGTAATGACAGAATTATTGCTCTGAAGTTAAAGGCGGAACCGGTAGATATACTGATTATACAAGTGTACATGCCAACATCAGAGTATGAAGATGATGAAGTGGAAAAAGTGTATGACACAATTGAAGAAATTCTTCAGGAAGATGGAAGAGGAGACACAAACAGCATCATATTGGGAGACTGGAACAGCATTGTTGGAGATGAACCATATCAGAATATTGTTGGATCACATGGACTAGGAAGACGGAATCACAGAGGTCAAATGCTTATTGACTTTTGTGAACGAAATGGATTGATTGTTACCAACACTTGGTTCAAGAAGCCAAAGAGAAGAATTTACACATGGAAGGCACCTGGGGATTGGAAGAGGCATCAGCTGGACTACATCCTTGTGAAACATCGATTCAGAAACAGTGTGAAGGATGTGAAGACGCTTCCTGGGGCAGACATTGACTCTGACCACAACTTGCTGGTTGCCAAGTTCCGAACCAGGTTGAAGAAAATTATAGGATTTCGAAAGCGCAGACCCAGATGGGATTTGGAGAAGTTATATGCTCAAAGACAAAGCGTGCAAGAGACTCTAGAAGAGAAACTCGGTGCAATTGAAGGTGAAAGCGGAAATGCTGAAGCGCAGTGGAACGATATAAAAGAATGCATGTTAGATACTATCAGTGATTTGGTAGGTAAAGTTGAGAAGATAGCAAGAAAACCATGGGTTACACAGGAGATGATGAGTAAAATGGAGGAGCGAAGGAAATGGAAGAATGTCAACAATGAAGAAGGCAGGAGGAAATACAGGAGACTGAGGAATGAATTGAAAAGAGCCACGGACAGGGCCAAAAAGGAATATCTTGAGAAGATATGTAATGAGATTATGGAATTTCAAAGAACAGGCCGTTATGATTTGATGTACATGAAGACAAAAGAACTAGGATGGAAAGAGAATCATGGGATTCAAAATGTTGGCATCGAAGACTCCCAGGGGAATAGAATAGTAGATCAGAGGCAAGTGCTGAAAATTTGGGAAAATTATATTTCAGAACTATATGATCGACCTAATCGGCCAGAAACCTTAGAAGTTGAACCGGAAGAAGAAGTAGATACAGACGAGAAAGGACCATATATTTTACAAAGTGAGGTGGAAAAAGCTATCAAGGAAATGAGGAAGGGAAAGGCTACAGGAGATGATGATGTACCTGGAGATGTGCTCAAGTTACTGGGAGAAGGTGGTTTGAAAACACTGACAAAACTAATGAACACCATATATGAAAGTGGAGAGTGGCCCAAGGACTTTACAGAAGTTACAATGATTGCCTTAAAGAAAAAGACAAAAGCTACAAAATGCAGCGACCATCGCACAATAAGTCTTATTGCACATACAGCAAAGATAATAGCAAAGATACTTAAAAGAAGAATTGAAAGGAAAATAGAGGATGTACTTGGAGAAGATCAGTTTGGATTTAGAAGAGGAAAAGGAACCAGGGATGCAATTGGGATGATGAGAATTATAGCGGAACGAACTTTGGAGATAGATGAAGAACTGTGTGTTTGCTTCATAGACTGGCAGAAGGCATTTGACCGGGTAAACTGGACCAAATTAATGCAGATCCTGAAAGAAACAGGTATCGATTGGCATGAAAGAAGATTGATTAGCAAATTGTACATGGATCAGAAAGTTAGAGTACGACTGGACAGGGGGGAGACAGGAAGTGTGCAGATTGGAAGAGGAGTTCGACAAGGATGCTGTTTATCACCAATTCTGTTCAACTTGTACAGCGAATGCCTTACCAAGGAAGCTCTGGATGGGCTCGGTGACTTCAAAGTAGGAGGGCAAATTATTCAAACTGTGAAATATGCAGATGACCTTGTGTTAATGGCTAAGGAAGAAACTGTGCTACAGGGCATGATTGATAGACTAATTGAAATTGGAAGGTGCTATGGCATGGAAATGAATGTGGAGAAAACAAAAGTAATGAAAATTTCGAGGCAACCAACCGCAGTCACAATAAAGATACACCAAAAAGAACTGGAGAATGTGAAATGTTTTAAATATTTGGGTAGCTTGTTAACAGATTATGGAAGGTGTACTAGTGAAATTAAATCCAGGATTGCCATGGCAAAAGCTGCATTTAGCAAGAAGAAGAATCTTTTTACCAGCAAATTGGACTTAAATTTGAGGAAGAAACTAGTGAAATGCTACATTTGGAGCATAGCTCTGTATGGGGCTGAAACATGGACACTTAGGGCAGTAGATCAGAAACATCTGGAAAGTTTCAAAATGTGGTGTTGGAGAAGGATGGAGAAGATCAGTTGGACCGATTATGTGAGAAATGAAGAAGTGTTAATTAGAGTCAGTGAGCAGAGGAATATCCTACACGAAATAAGAAAATGGAAGGCTAATTGGATTGGTCAGGTTTTACGCAGAAACTGCCTTCTAAAAGAAGTTATCGAAGGAAAGATAGAGGGGCGGATAGAAGTGACAAGAAGACGAGGAAGAAGATGTAAGAAGATGCTGGATGACCCTGGGGACAGAAGAGGAGAAGGAGAAAGCTATAGATCGCATTAAATGGAGGAATTGTTTTGGAAGAGACTGTGGACCTGCCGTCTTGACAGATTACTGATGATGATGATGATGATGATTCTTCTCTCAAGGTTAAGTCCACATAACAATGAAATGACTGAGGATCATGAGCGTGAGTTTTGATGTAACAGATGAACAACTGATCAAATTTTTGCATTTGTCAGATATTGGAGAAAAAATTGGAGTACAATGAGACAGTACATGAGCTGAAGAAAGCAGTCTTATGGGATGTGGCACTGTGTAGATATTGTGTTAACCAAAGTTTCGGAGGAACGTATCGCCTCCATCTTCAGGGTAGAAGAAAAGAGAAACTCTGCAAGCGAGGAACAAGCGCGAGCAAGTGCTCACAGAGTAGTAGAGAGCACAGACTAATGTACTCTGTGAGCACTTTCTCGCGCCGGTTCCTAGCTTGCAGAGTTTCTGTTTTTTCTTCAATCCTGAAGATGGAGGTGATATGTTCCTCTGAAACTTTGGTTAACACAATATCTACATGGCACCACAACCCAGAAGACTGTTTTCTTCGTAGTCACTACTGTAAAAACCTCAAATCTTACACAGTACATCAGCTATTTGTGGACTTCAAGAAAGCGTATGATTCAGTTAGGAGGGAAGTATTGTACAACATTTTGATCGAGTTTGGGGTACCCATGAAACCAGTTAGGAAGATTAAAATGTGTATAAACAAAATGTATAGTGAAGTCCATTAAGGTAAACATTTGTCTGATAAATTTCCTATCCAGAATGGTCAAGGAATGAAACAAGGAGGTGCTTTATTGGGACTCCTTTTTAACTTTGCTTTAGAATATGCCATTAGAATGGTCGAAGAAAATCAGGTGGGACTGAAATTAAACAGACACATCTGCTGTTGATCTATGCTGATGATGTGAATCTACTGGGTGATAATATAGATACCGCAAAGGAAAAACACACAAACTTTAATTGATGAAAGTAAGAAGATTGGTCTAGAAGTAAACAGAGAAAACTAAGTATATGTTGCTGTCTCGTCACCAAAATGCGGGGCAACATCATGACATAAAGATGGGAAGATGTTTTGAAAATGTGGCACAGTTCAGATATTTGGGAACGACTATAACAAATCAAAACCCGAATCAGGAGGAAATTAAGAGGAGACTGAACTTGGGTAATGTTTGCTACCATTCAGTCCAGAACCTTTTGTCTTGTCTGCCGTCCGAAAACATAAAAATTAAAATATACAAAACTATAATTTTACCTGTGGTTTTATATGGGTGTGAAACTTGGTTTCTGACATTAAGGGAGGAACATATACTGAGGGTGTTTGAGAACAGGATGTTGAAGAGAAGATTTAGACTGAGGAGAGATGAATTGACAAGAGGTTAGAGAAAACTGCATAATGTGGAGCTTCATAACTTGTACTCTTCTCCGAGTATAATTAGAACGATCAAGTCATCAAGGAGGATGAAGTGGACAGGGCATGTAGCACAGACGGGGGAGAAGAGGAATGCATGTAGGATATTGGTGGGAAAGCCATAAGAGACAACTGGGAAGACTAAGGCATAGGTGGGTGAACAATATTAAAATGGATCTTAGAGAAACAGGGTGGCATGGTGTGGATTGGATTGATCTGGCTCAGGATAGGGACCAGTGGAGGGCTCTTGTGAGCACAGTAATGAGCCTCCGGGTTCAATAAAATGCTGGGAAATTCTTGAGTAGCTGCAGAATTGGCGGCTCCTCAAGAAGGGCTCAGCCCCATGAGTATTGTTCAAAGTCAGTTTCAGTCAGTGACCAGAACAAAATGTTACTTACAGATATGTCCAAGTGTTGTTCGGGTTCTTTGGGTACAACTCCTATAATGGTGCTTGTCAGTGACCTCTGGTTTAGAAGACGACTCTTTATCATCGCCATGCTATAAGTAAACATAACAAAAAGTGAAAATCTCTTGCCAGGTGTGTACATTCGCGTTTACATTTGATCTGTAACCTATTTACCGACACTGTCGGTAATTCTGACTACATAGAGTCAATTCATTGAAGTTGGGCATATAGGTTCGAAATGAACATGTAATTTGAAATGGTAATTATAAACCACCGTAGGAGTGCCGCACTTCCTAAACGTCCTCCGCCATAGGCCGAGCTTTTGTACACATACTTTACACTCACTTTCGTGAACTTGTAACGGGAATTTTCATTGACGATCCTGGAAGGAGTACCTCTTCATCAATAACAAGCAATGGAATTTGTCGAGGAATACTCATCATCATTGATGTCATTTTGAAAATATGATTCAGTTAATAATGATAGAATATAAACACTGAACCACTAATTTCGTAAAATCACCATGATAAGCACAAACACTTTATGTGCAAAGTACAAACATTACAGAACGAACAGTCACTCTCTCACTTTGCTCACGGTCATGGCTGTGACGACGGTGACGACCGTGACGACCATCGTCTGTAGTTTTCTGTAGCGTCTGTAGAGCGCTCTGTTGATAGAGAATTGTAATAGACTAAGTTGTTTGGGTTGGTGTTTAAGTTTATAATTTTTCGGAACAGGTGTTGGAATTTATGCCCAGTAGATTTCGTGGCATTTTTCACCATTTTCGCGAAGCCTGCCCGGTGTTATTACTATTAGAGGTACAGTTCTGATAGGATTCTTCGCGCATCAAATAACACAGGTAAGAAATTCAAACTTGGATTGTGTCATTATATTTTTTGAAATGTATGTAGTTCTTTTCGTCGTTTCTTTACAGTACTTTCGCGTTACGTCGCAGTCGGATCCGGTTGGATCCGGACTACCCTCTGTTAATCTGCGATGTCCTGGGTTCAAACATGAGACCTGAGATCGGCTGTCCTGCCTTATTCATTTTTACCAGCCCACCACGGTAATGTGGGCGTAGTACCGCAAATTAACCAATGACCGGTTCCTTTTTATGGTTTATTTTTGGACGCCTTTAGTATCTAGAATGTGTAGCGTCGAATGGTAGGATGATTGATGAACTGACAGGATTTGAAAGGAAGCAAACGTGGGCTAATAGAGGTACAGGGTCTTCATTATATGATGTCACTATAAGCGCGTCGGAAATTTCTCCGATAAATCCAGCGTAATAACTGAGAAATTGTGACGTTCGCAGTGTCAAAAATTGAAGACCGTTCTCTATTACAACATTTGTCTTGAAGGATTGAGGAAAATCTTGGAAGACCTCTGGTGTCTCTGGCGAGATTTGAACTGAAAACCTCCAGAATAGAAGTCTAGAAAGTTAACCTACACCAGCTTGGTTAATTCCTTCCAGATCCTTTTCCAATTCATAGGCACAAATCCTACCATTCATAATCAGAGCTACAGCATCATTAAATAAGCCATAAATAAATAATTTGTATACCTTCCCACAAAAGTTGATCTTAATGTAGGGACTGTTTTTGCATTTGGATGATGGCATAAAACTTCCTCCACAGAGTACAGTACTAAATGTCCACTTATTAATACAGTGAATGTGATATCATGTTGTGTGCCCCTGTTGTCCCATATTGATCTGTGGTCTTATATTAACTGTTGTATAGGGTTCAGGTGCATATATCAAAACTGTTTTAGAACTATGGTAAACTATACTCTTGGAGCTGAACGCTTCTTGAGAAGCCGCCAATTGTGCCGCTATTCAAGAATTTCCCAGCAGTTTATGGATTCTGAAGGTACATTGCCGTGTTTACAAGAGCCCACCACTGGTCCCTATCCTGAGCCCGATTGATCCAGTCCATACCATCCCATCCTGTCTAAGATCCATTTTAATATCGTCCACCCACCTATGTCTTCATCTTCCTAGTGGTGTCTTTCCTTCTGAATATCCCACCAATATCCTATATACATTCCTTCCCCCATTCATGCTACATGTACTGCCCATTTCATCCTCTGTGACTTGAATGTTCTGATTATATTTGGCGAAGAGTACAAGTTATGAAGCTCCTCATTATGCAGTTTCTCCAACCTTCCATCACTTCATCTCTCTTCGATCTAAGTATTCATCTCAACACCTTGTTCTCAAACACCCTCAGTCAGTGTTCCTCCTTTAAAGTCAGAGACCAAGTTGCACACCCATACAGAATCACAGACAAAATTATAGTGTTGTATATTCTAATTTTTGATCTCAGTGACAATAAAGCTTAAAAGACTGCAGTGGGCTGGGCATGTACAGAGAATGGATAAGGAGCGTATCTCAAAGAAAATATTATACAGTACAATAGGTGGTAGGAGACATGCTGGGAAACCAAGAACTAGATGGATTGATGTAGTGGATGAAGATGCAAAGAAGTTAATGGGCGTAAGGAACTGGAAGAGAGCAGCGCAGGATAGAGAGGAATGGAGGGGATTGATAAGGGAGGCCAAGGCCCGACATCGGGCTGTTAGGCCACAGAAGAAGAAGAAGATATTCTAATTTTTATGTTTTGGACAGCAGACGAGAAGACAAAAATTTCTGGACTGAATGGTTGCAAGCATTACCTGAATCCAGTCTCCTCTTAATTTCGTTGTGAATCAGGTTTTGTTTTGTTATAGTCTTTCTTTATGGTATCTATATTATAACCAAGTAGATTCACATCATCAGCATAAAAACAACTGATGTGTTCTGTTTAATTTCAGTCCCAACTTGTTTTCCTCGACCTTCCTAATGGCATATTCTAAAGCAAAGTTGAAAAGTAGTCTCAATACAGCACCGCGTTTCAGGCCGTTCTGCATAGGAAATTTATCAGACAATGTTTATCTATGTAGACTTCACTATACATTTTGTTTCAACACATTTTCATCTGCCTAACTAGTTTCATGAGTACCCCGAACTCTATCAGAATATTGTATAATACTTCTGACTGAATCATACTCTTTCCTGAAGTATATGAATAGCAGTTATATCCAATGATAATTACTATAGTCAGTTTTATCACCATCTTTTGAACTGGTACAATAATATACTCCTTCCACTGATCAGGCAATTTTTCCTTATGCCAAAAAGAAATTATTAGCTTATGAATCTTAGAACATAATATTTTGCTTCCTGCTTGAATAAGTTCTGCCAGAATTTGATCACTACCTGGTGATTTATACAGTTTCAATTTTGCAATAGCTCTTTCATCCTCAAGAGGGCTAGGATCAGGTACGAACGGCTCAGCTGTCTGTACTTCTGTCTGCCTAACAGCACTGACCCTATATACATTAAAAAACTGAGAGAAATATTTCTTCCAACTATTCAAAATGTTGTGGGAATCTGCAAGCAGATCACCATTCTCATCCTTCACCAAGTTCCTTCTAGGTTGGTAAACCCTCTTAAAGTCATTTATTCATGTATACGGGTCTCTAGTGTTCATGTTCTTACCGTTTGTTGCAAGCTCATTAATTTTTTCTTTCAGATATTCCCTCTTTTTTTTCCTGAAATGCATGCTGGCTTCACATCTTATATTGTTCGGGTTGTCCTCATTTATTTCACTTGGATCCTGTAACCACTGCAGTTTGGCTTGTTTCCTTTGGTCTGATGATTCTGAGTATTCTTCAGTTGATAGTAACCTAGCCTCTTTTTGGCTGAAATTTTGATATCCTCTCTAGTAGTTTCCCAAGCTTTATTAACGTTCACCTCAGTGTTCAAGTTTTCCAAAGCCGCAAATCCATTTGTGATTTTAACACGTACTGCTCTTTACCCTCTACCTCATTTATTTCTTGAGATTGAACCTCTCTGTATGAACTCTGTGTTGTTTGTTCACTCACTGCCAGTCTTTCCCTAAACTTTGCCATGACCAGGTAGTGGTCAGTATCACAATCTGCTGCCCTGAATGATCGGACATCAAGTATACTTGAATGCTGTCTCCTGTGTATCAAAATATGGTTGATTTGATTGTGTATCTTCCCATCAGGAGATGTCCAAGTAAATTTATGGATATTACGATGTGGGAACATTGTACCTTTGACAGTAAGATTTTTCAGTGTGGCAAAGTTTACTACTCCAACTCCATTATCATTACTAATTTTGTGCAAACTCTGATTTTGTGCAAACTCTCATTCCCAATTGTTTGTTTGAAAATATCTTCCCTACCTCCTTTGGCACTGAAATCTCTTTAACAGAATAGTCTAGAAATTTTCTAGAAAACCAAGATTAACAGCCATTGGAATCCATTGAGCTGACCATGCGACACCCTCAATCCTCAAAAATTGGCACTAACTTCGCTGACAAGCGGCGGTCGCTTGTAGACCAAAGGCTATGGAGCATTTAGGGAATACAGTGGCACACTTTAACATTCTTAATTTGTGCCCTGCATGAATGATTCATGTACATCATGCAGAGATTTTTTAATGTTCAGGGAATATACTAATTGAAAATGCATTTTTAAAAGTCCTAAATATTAGATTAAGGAACATGCAAGATGTGAGTAGATTTTCTTCCTCATATTGGGTACTGAGATATTACAGAGGTTTATTAGCAACTAGATGAGTTCACAGCTCTGCGTTTCATGGTGACTTGCTGCGAGGTGCATGTGATTTTGGTGATCAATCAGCATGCCTGACAGGCGATAACATTTGGAGTGAAGTAGTTATAATTCACATATTAAAGGAGGTGTTGAAAATGCTGCCCTCTCTACATATAGATATATTTGGCAATTAATTGTTTCATTAAAAAACACAGGTACATCAATCCTCCTTGCACTTACAGCACACCAGATACCAGCTTTCACTGGATGGCTTCAGCAGTTGTGTTGCCATTCTTGCAATAGACTTTGGTGTTCCAGTCTCTTGAGCTAGATGTTTCAGTGATTTCTAGGTGTGTGTTCAACTGTGGCCCCTGTGTCATGTAACTTCTCCTCAGCAAGCACTCGGCCCTTATGTATTTTTTTATTGTCTATTAAGAGTCCTGTTGTTCTAAGTTTATTCACCAAACTATTAATTCTTTGACTGCTGGGAATTCTTTCATTACGAAATTTAGGTAGAAATTTTTGCTGAAACTTTCCAGCAAATCCATATTTCACATAGGTATCATACCGAAATACACGTTGCTCTAAAGTATACTGCACCATGATGTTCACTAGCTGTAACTGAGATCAGATGGCTAAAGGAGCTGTTAACTGCTGCCTACTGCTGATAAATCATAAACAAACTCTCACACATGAGCCACACTGCTTGCCGTGAAACATAATGCCATCAAGTGGTTTACAGTTAACTACTTCCGATCATTCCAAATGTTATTGGCTGATACATTGGCAAAATTTGTGCACCTCGTAGCAGGAGATGCAGCAGCCACTGTGAAGCGCAAAGCCATGAACTCTTGAAGTTTAAAAAACCTCCCTCTACTTGCAAAGATTTTAAGTTTTTCATGTTTGTTACTTGAAGATTATAGTGATATTAGGTTTTTTTTAAAGAAAGCGAGTGTTTTCTGTTCATATGTTACATTTAGTTTTGTGTGGTGTAAGCCTTGAGCTTTTGAGCAAGATATGTGTACAGCCTCTGTGATACCAGAGTGTCCTAGTTTGCACACACTATAAAAGACAGAAGTATGTAAAATAGGTGTTAATTGTGGTTGTGTTGGTAAAATACATTCTGGGGGGATTGACTGCACATTTTCAATCATAGAAATGCATGAGTCAGTGCTGTAATAAGAGATATTTAATATTTTCCAGAGAGACTGGAGGAGGACCTTATTTTTGTGCTACCATGTCAGATGCATGGGAAGAAATTCAGGCCATTAAAAGTAAACGGAACAGCCTCCGTGAAAAGTTACAAAAAAGGAAGAAGGAGCGACAGGATATCCTAAACCAGTCTGGTGGAGCATTAACAACAGGTTCTTAAAGTTCATATGATAATCCTTTTGCTGCCAATATACCATTTGAACAGATACAGATTCTGCTGGACAAGCTGCTACTCAGTCTGGCTAGTATCTACAGAATGGATTTCTACTGTATGTAATTCATGTATAGAAAACTCTGGTGTCCAATATCTGGCATTCTCATGCAAGCTTATAAAAATTTCAAAGGCAATTTACCATTATTGTGAAGTTATTTCATAAACAACATTGCAGTGGTGATGTGTTCACTTGTCATGTGGTATTTCTGTTAACCACTGCTAGCAGCACTACCCATCTTTTTCTCTCATGCAGGTGCCATTACAGTAATAGTGTTCTATGATTACATGATGACAGTAGAGGCTAGTCATATCTGTGGTTGTGTTACAGTACGTCTAAAATCTTTCACCCACCAATTTGTTATGTCATCTAAGAAGACTCCATGCAGGAACTAAGGTAAAAACACTTTAGATAGAAAATGTAAATATATAAAGAAACTGTAGAAGGGTGAAAGTCTCTTCAGAATTGGGTTTCTGCAAGTTTTACTCATGGAACCAAAAAATTCCTGTACATGGAACATCCTGTTCCTTATATACGCTGGATAGTTTGGTGTTTCTTCTGTACAGTTTGGTAACTTAAAGAGATGGCACTTGCATGGAGAATGTGTAATTTTGAACTACTTCAATTTCTTATCTCAGGCTGAGATTTCTCTTTAAGGGTAAAGTTATTCTTGTGTTCACTTAAGTACCACTTCATGAATATGTATGGGGCAGTGGAGACATAGCTTTGCACATTTTTAACCTCTACACTGCATGGGTGTGAATGGTCAGCTTTGCCCCAGGGGAAGAACCTCCTGTTTCCATAATATAGGATGCTGGGTGGGCTCAAGAGCTGGTTGGGAAATTGGGAGGAGAGAGAAATCTCTTGCACCCCACAAGGAATCGAGTACTGAGTCAATGGTCATTGAACTTTTAGCCTAGTCAGTATATTGCATGAGCCACTGTGATGCACCTCTCTGGAGATGTTACTGAAAATTTTACAAAACCAGAGTTCTCGCTTTAGACAGAAAATGTAATTATGTAAAGAAACTGGAGAAAGGTGAAAGTCATTTCAAAATTTGGTTTCTGCAAGTTTTGAGCATGAAACTAGGAAATTCATGTTCCTGGAACATCCCGTTACCTGTATGTGCTGGATAATTTGCCATTTGTTGTATATGTTGAGCCAATATAATGTGTGCCTTATTATTCAGTAATATTACTGGCAGACCTTTATTTCAGATGCCAGTCCATCTCTGTCAAAAACAAAAGTTTTGTCTTCTGAAGGGAGTACAAGTGGAGCACCATCTCCAGTAACACAAGGTAAAGGTAAGGAACATGTCAGTAAACCAAATTGTCCCATCTCCTCTCTCATTTGGCTCAAGGATTTACTTACTGTTGATGTGACGCTTATTAAAGCATTCATTATCAAATCTGGCACAGTACCATCTTCATGACTACAACTGCTTAGGACAAACCTAGTATGTAGCCAGTTTCATGCTGAGCTTTGAATAAGTATCTGTGTCTCCTGCAAATGGCAAGAATGTCCTATTATTTCTTGCTGATCACAGTTGGAAACCAATTGACCTAATCCTTCCAGCCACACTATGTTCCTGGGGTGGACTCAGCCTCTAACAGAAATGAGTACCAGGAATGTTCCTGGTGGTAAGCAGCAGCCAACACATAAGGCTAACAACCTCACCACCATTTGTGAGCCAATTGTGTGGAAAGTGTGGGAGCCTCTATATCTCAACCCCATAGGCCTCCAGGGCCTGTTACAGGGATTGCTTTACACTTGGAAACTTCTGAATCAGTATTTCAGTTTCTCATGGTGGTGACTGGAAGTTACTGTTCTCTGGGTTGTAACGCCATATCATCTGGTAGCAGTTACTGATGTTTCAGAGGGATGTACTGCCTTCATCTTCAGTGTACAAGAGTAAACCTGAAGTTGAAAGCACCATATTCCTCTAAAACGGGCATGTCCAACGTGTTGATCGCGGGATGATTTTTGGTCGATCTCATAGGCTTATAAGGAAATTATACGTGAAAAGCATGTAAATTCACTTGCAATATAATATGATTATATTCAGATTTTGAAGGGAAAATACATATTAAAGTAGTCTGTACTTTCAATGTATGTTGCTTTTACAACAAACATCATGTGTCATGTTATTTTTACCAGTATTTTTGTTTAAAGCGAGGTACGACCATAGGAGAGGGTGGTAGATCACTGGCAGTTTTGACACTAAAAAGTCGATCACAACCTGTTTGAAGTTGGACATGCCAGCTCTAAAACACGATGAACATCTACCAGACTTTATGGCATTACATTGTAGAAGGCAGTAATTTTAAAATTTGTAGACCATATTTGCTTGAATGTATGCTGCCTTTTCCCCTCAAATTGATGCTTTTAAAATCGGTGTCTTATGAGTGGTTCTTAAATGAACAGAATGTAGGAATATGTAGATCTGGTAAGGATAGAGAGTATATTAAACCCTTGTTAATCTGGAGGAATTGGGTGGGGAGAAAAGTCATCTGAATTCAGCTATAATCCGGATTAGGAAGAACAAAAACACTTAGAACATAAATAAATGGAAAATTTAATGATATAAGTAGTGCTGTTGAAAGTATTATTATTTTTATTGCTAGTGGGGTGGGACTATGTCCCTTGTACTGTGGCCACTTCTGGCCTATTGAAACTGCCCCAGATGATAGGTGAGGGTGATTGTGGAGCAATTGGTGGAATAAAGATTGGCAGGGGAAACCGAAGTACTCGGAGAAAACCTGCCCCAGCGCCACTTTGTCCACCACAAATCCCACTTGACCAGACCCGGGATCGAACCAGAGCTGCTGTGGTGGGAAGCCAGCGACTAACCGCTTGAGCTATGGCGCGGCCAGCTGATGAAACTTAATAACAAAATATCACCATAGAACCTTAATTTAAAAACTGTAAAAGGATGATATATTTATTCATCGATAGAAGACTCAGAAGTTGTACTTGTTTTTTAATGTAGTAATGCAGGTTTGAAGAACTGTCAGGTTTTGTGTGAACAGACAAGTGGCTCATCTTCCTTTGTAAGCACCATGTGTCTTTTAACGTAAGTACTCCACTGTGAACAACATATTTTGTATTTCGATCTGGATTAACTGTAACTTGATTAGTGAGAGTTTACTGCACATCCATACTCATCAGTATTGGCAGTGGTGAAGATGTGAAAGTATTGAACTGTTCAGTGATGGTAGGGCAAGTGTTCATTGTAATACACACCAAATTTTTAATAAGAGAACTGGGAAATTATGTTGCAAACTAAAAAAAATTATATAAATGCATAAAATATATTTGTTCAGGACAAACTCACAGAGATCAGTAAAATGTGACATATTCTTGATGGCTTTCTGTAGGGTTTTGGTCGTGAGTGTTCAGTTTTTACTCCACAGGTGGCACTAGTGGCAGGCAAAAATATAAAACGGTTTCACAAAATCCTACATTTAATCCTATGCATTGGTCTTCATGGACCTAGTTTGTTGGACAGGTTTATTGCATAAAATTTTCACCTCGCCTTCTATCTTAGTTTCAGGTCTGTGCATGCTCTTATCACAAATTTAATTCATATAAAGTATAAAAAAGTAAAGCTATCAATGTAACAGGCCTTGAAGGCCCATAGGGTTGTGAGACGTTGAGGGTCCCACATTATCTAGACAGTCGGCTCGAAGGTGGCAGTAAGGTTGTCAGCCTTTATTTGGCAAAATTTAATTCATATTATGATGTTATCTCCCTTCAACAAAGTCTGGTCTCAGGTATTCATATAGCTGTAGTTACACTGACATGAACTGAGGGATGAGGAAGTGCCATGTGGAAGTTATAAAAGGCAGTGGATTCATGAATTCAAGTAGAGAAAGTGATCAGGGAGAGTTTGTGAGTGAATAAAAAAAAAATTGTACTTTGCAACTGCAGAGAGATTTCCATAGATCATTAGGTGTAACTATTAGACCAAACATCATAGTATTACATGTATGAACAATGTATTCGGCTGCACTTTTGTGTTCAGTGTTAATTGCAGCCCAGCTGCTGACTTATGTGCTCCTCGGTATATAAAGTTTGTCACTTGAGAGAGCAAAGTGAAAGTGAGTGTCATATCCAAGATGTAGGATGTTCTGGTGCCAGGATACTGAACATTTTGGATGAATAAATGTTCTACACTGAAATCAGAATACCAGACATTAGTGCAACAGTATCCTGATGTGGATGCACAGCTAAAACAGCTCCTTAAGGTGCAGGGCGACATTGAGGAAATGCTGGGACACACACACCAGCTTTGGTAAGGGAAAGTGCAGAATGGGCTGCTATTGTGGATACTGTGGAAGAAAGTGGAGTGAGCTATTGTAAAGGTCTCCGTGGAAAGCCACTTTCTTGTGCACTGTACAGCACGTACACAGTAACTTTACACTAACTGCTTTTCATGGATCATCAGGCCTTAAATTTCAACCGTCTGAGAAAGCCAACGCAATTGCTGACTGCTTGAAAAATCAGTTCACACACCATGACTTGTATGGTGAAAACCATGACCCGCGTGTGGAGGCTAGGGTTCAAGCTCTACTCGAAACCGTGGACAACAGCCTCCTTCAGAGGATAAGACCATGTGACTTACAGAAATTAATAAATTCCTTGAAATTGAGAAAGACCTGCAAAATTGATGACATTCCAAATGAATGCCTCAGGCACCTTCCAAGAAGACCACTAGTACATTTGACACATTTATTTAGTCACTGCCTTCGGCAGTGTCTTGGGAGAAATCAAAAGTCATGATGTTATCTAAACTCAGTAGGGACCCAAGATTCCCTTAAAATTTACGTCCAGTTAGCCTCCTGTTCACAACAGGCAAACTATTGAAAAAGTAATTTTGAAAATAGTCCAAAAGCACATTGAAGAAAGAGGCCTGCTTAAAGGAAGCAAATATGGTTTCCATGCATGACACAGCATGTCACTGCAATGTATGAGGCTAATGGATCATGTGACCCTTAATTTCAACAATCATCAGTCTATGGCTGTGGTGTTCTTGGTCATTGAAGTAGCCTTTGATACCACAGGGCACACTGGCTTCCCATATAAATTATCTAAATTGAAATTTTAGACCAGTTTGATCAAGCTCATTAGCTCATTTCTTTCACAGTGCAAATTCAGTGTTTATGGTGGAAGGCAAAATATCTACACCAAGGGAAATGCAAGCAGGGGTGCCTCAAGGTTCTGTCCCTTCCCCTACTTTGTGCAACATACATATAAGTGATGTCCCCCAAAACACGTGGTGTTTATGTAGCCCTCTTTGCCAACAAAACCCATCTGTATGCAACAGATCGAAAGGAGGGTTTTGTTGTCAGAAAATTCCACTGTGCTCTTAGCTCAGTCGAGACCTTGTGTGAGCACTGGAATATTATAATCAATGATGATAAGACTCGGGGGGATTTACTTTTCTCACAGTCGTCAGCCGCCTGAGTGCTGTCATACACTTAATGGACGAAGCATTCTATTTATAAATAGTGTAAAGTTATCTCAGTGTAATTTTCGATAAGAAAGTTAAGTGGAGATTGTATATAGAAACGATTGAAGCCAAGGCCTTCAGAACATTTATTAAAATATAATTCTTATTGAAAAGTAAGTGATGAAGTGCTAACATTAAGCTGACCCTCCACAAAGCACACATTAGGAGTATCATGACTTATGCTTGCCCCCCTGGGAGTTTGCGGCAGACAGCCATCAACTGAAATTGCAGCGCCTGCAAAACAAAGTTCTCCGCACCCTTGGAAATTTTCCAGGGCGGTTCGCGAATTGCACATGACTCAAAATCCTGTATGTATGTGATCATATAACAGAATTATGCAGGCAACAAGCAGAAGTCATACAAAATTATGATAATGAGAATGGCTGCAGTATTGGACAAGGTGAAGCCTGACATAGAAAGTATAACAGGCTTAAACTTGGCGGCGGTCATGCATACGACCGTTCAAGTGATTAGACTGCTGTGGTAGCAGGATCTGCTAATGAAAAGCATGATCTTCTGTACTGAGTCTGGACCGACAGAGTCCTTGTATATATTGCATATACATTTAATTACATGTAAATTGTAAATTGTATATACTGACAACAGACATATTACTGTTGACTGTGACTCTGGCAAACAAAAGACCTGTCCTCTTTTCATAGAGAGCACTCCCCAGCAACAAACCTGCAACTGTCATGCAGTAATAAAGATGTGGTCCTAAGCCCCAGATGGGTGCTTTATTCCAAGATATACTGGCTGACTCACCTTCGGTTATATCATAACATTGACTCTGACTTTGACTTTGACTTTGACTGGCCCAACAGAGTGGTGTCTCCTCCCTCACCTGAAGACTGAAACAGCCAGTTTATGAATGGTTGTGTTCTCTAGTTTTTAGGATATCTGATGATGGACAGAGTTCAAAAACCGAGTAATTCTGAGTGTTATATACCGCTGTCAGAACCCTTTGGAATCTATAAGACATTTAAATGATTGGCACTCAATGTTTTAAGTACCATATCACATGATTATTTATATTAAATTGGAGTAGAAGCACCACACATTCTTATCTTTGGTACCAGATACACCAGTCACATTGCTACTGAGAGGTGCTGGTTGGAACCAAGAGTCAATCTGGATGACATGGTAAAATCCCTGCCTCTGCCAGGAATCAAACCCCAATCATTCATCACATAGCCATGTGTGTGAAATGTGGGTATGACTGAACATGACCAGAATTGAATGTCTATGAGTTTGACTTGCAGGTGACACTTTTCACACATTACTGTTAGAAAGTAAAATAAGATCTAAATGTATTAATGGTAAGCATAGAGTTTGTTATAGAATAAGAGTGTGCATGTATGCACACACAAACACAACAAGATTTCCAAAAGTCAGATGTCTTCCATTTCTCTGGTAAGCGCTGGTAAATCTAGGCAAAAAAGGTGAAGCTATCCATGTAACAGGCTGAGGGCCCATAGAGTTTTCAGACATTAAGGCTGTCACATTTTCTGTAGACAGTCAGCTCACAGATGGCGGTGACGTTGTCAGCCTTACGCATGGGCTGCCCTTTATCCTGCAAGAAGATTCCCGGTACTCATTTCTGTTAAGAGGCTGAGTTGACTCAAGGGCCATAGTATGGCTGGAAGGTTTAGGTAAATTGAAAAAAAAATCTACTTCATCGGGACTCGAGCCTGCGACCTTCCAGCTTGTAGCGTAGTGCCTAAACCAACTATACTAGCACATGCTGCCATGATAAATCCAGTCATCCACTAATCTTCTTATTTGTTCTTGCCGTAAACTTCATTCAGATCTCATCTGGTCTACTGTCTGAATTTGGTATTCCAGATTTGTACATAGAAGAGCTTTAACTGAAACTTAACATTCAGGCTTCAGGAAGTGGAAACAAGAATATTTCAAACATATCATTTCAACCTCCTTTGTTAATTACTCAGTAATAATGCTATTGATGTGTTAGGAAGGTCCGAGGTAATCAGGACGTATTTAAATTGAATGGGAAATAGATATGTTTCTGGTCTGTGCTAATAATGTTAATTTACTAGGAAAAATATGCTGTTTGGTATCTAAAAACAGAGTTCGAACTATGCTACACTTTCCCTGTTTTGTATGGATGTGAATCTTACTCTCACATCAAGGGAAGAAAAAAGGATGAGGATGTTTGAGCAGAGAGAGAGAGACTGTATAATGAAGAGCTTCACACAGAATAATATTAAGGTGATCAAATCAAGAAGGATGAGATGGGTTGGACATGTAGCATAAGTTAGAGAGGTGAAATTGTGTAAAATTTGGTAAGAAAAGCTGAAGGGAAGAGATCTCTTGGAAAATCTAAGCATAGACAAAGTGATATTAAAATTGGTCTTATGAAGAGGAGTACAGGGGTGTGGGCTGGACTCATCAGGCTCTACACTGGGACCAGTGGCAGGCTTTTTGAATGTGATAATGAACATTGTGTTTAAGCATCCTGCTGCATCACTTCAGTCACTTTACACACACCCCCACCCCCCCTCAGTGGTAAACATAAAACAATACATAAAAGGAGTGCAACGTCACACATACACCTTTTACATAATTTTAAAAGTTTTAAAAACATTTTACACATAAAATTTAACAGGCACACAAATTTATGTAGATTATTGTATATTCATAACAATACATGTTATGAACTAAGTGGTGATTTTAGGCTGAACCGTAGCTCAAGCGGTTAGTCGCTGGCTTGCCGCCGCAGTGGCCCAGGTTCGATCCTGGGTCTGGTCAAGTGGGATTTGTGGTGGACAAAGTGGCACTGGGGCTGGTTTTCTCCGAGTACTTCAGTTTCCCCTGCCAATCTTTGTTCCACCAAATTCTCCATCATCATAATCACCTGGGCCAGGTACAGTAAGCCAATCAGTGGCCTCCGTGCTGAGTGGACCCAGCTGGACTCTACCCCCCACTAAGCAAATAAAAAAAATGGTGATTTTGACCAAGCTGCATTGAAAATATATATTGCATGTGTATCATGTAGTAATGAACATTTGGAGTTTGTAAAAGGCAAGGTAATTCTTGAGAAGTTGAGTGACTCTGTACTTGTAGTTATTTAGGTGATAATGCTAATGAGCACATAATATAGGTTACAGTTTGAATATATGCAAAATTATGCATTTATAACAGGTCTCTGCCTCTCACTCTTTATTTAACTGGTTTATACCTTGGCTCTTAATTCAGATGAAACCGGAGAAGTGGAGCCAGAAGATGCCATGAAACCAGACCCAGAGACTGAAAAACAATTACTACGCTGTCTCAGTGAAGTGTCTCTTACTTTGCCAACAACATCAAGGGAACTTGCAGCAGCTGTTGGGAAGCAACTGGGGCGCCATGTCTTTCATATTTCAGTGGTCAACCTTCTGCAGAAGTTCAGTACTCAGCAGCTCATAGTGTGAGTGGTGGGGTACTGGAACTCATTAGGCACAATGATGTTTTTATGTGGACTTTCACTAGCAGTGAATACCTTCATGATTAAATAAGATCTAAAAGTTTGTGACAATGGTACATTAATACAAATAGTATGTTTCTGGACATTATCCATTGTCCTATCTTCATCTGAAAACACCATCCTGTTTATTTTTTGAAATACAATGTATTGGGAACCGTTTTCAAAACTAAACATACACTCCATGGGACATTTATGAAAACTGGACCGGTTAGAGATGCCCAGCAGATGGAGCAGTGTGTGCACAGCATCCAGTATAAGTGTGACAGATGTTAGTTACATTGATGAAAAAGCAGGAACATATATATATAACCTAACACAGGGTTTGCTTGAAAACTCAAAATTAGCCCAACATGCATATGTGGGAAGGCCACAAAATATGTTGGAATAGAGTGAAGGTATTGCAGATTGAGCCCAGCACCACATACAGGAAATACAAGGAATCAGCCCACATGTCTCTGCTGGACCATCTGATCAGTCAACCCAGTTTGAACATCTGTCCCATCTGGACCCCCATTATCACAGGAGAAGAAAGGAAACTACAACTCCAAGTGTAGATTGAATGGGAAAATTTGTACAAAGACTAAGACAAAAATAATACTGTCTAATGTGACTATTTAAGTTTTATCATTTGAAGACTCATCATCCTTACATGTTTCGATCCCTACGGATCATCCTCAGAGGGCATCAATACTTTTTTGGAAACTACTATTAAAATAGATGTTAATTATATACATACACATATAATGTCTGATATGCACAATGTACACAGTGTTCAACCTTTCACACTGACAGCAGCCTTCCTGGTGTTAAAACTTTTTAAAGTTTTTTAAAAACTTCTTTAAAAACTTTCTAGTTCAAGCTTAAAATTTATAAACCATACAGATTTGTGTCAATTCTCCTATTGTTATTCTTGGAGGTGGCTGATCCTGTGCCGCCTGTCTATCTTGCGAAAGGAGATTCTTAGTATTTCCATGTTTATTCGTGGTCTGCTGTGCTGTTTACACTGTTAGTTTTTCTTGTGTTGATAGATACCATAAGCAGTATTTCTTATGTCCAGTTATGGTTTCTGTCATGATAGTTCTCTGGCGCTGGGCCTCATACATGTAGAACTTTAAATAATTCAGTGTTTTCTTAGCTCTTGCAGATGGTTTCTGCGGTGTTTGGCTCATATACTCCATCTTGGTGCTGGTACAGGTGTCTGGAGATAGGGACTAACTGTCTGTCAGGTCCAACTGAGTAGATTTTACCTGAAGATGGAGACAGAATCCTGTCTCTGAAACGTTGCGTTTTGAAAAATAAACAGGAATGTGTTTTCAGATAAAGACAGTGTAATGGGTAATGTCCAGAAGTGTAATATTTATACCTTCATGACTAATTCTGTAAACGGATTCCACCAGTTGAAATTGTGACCAAACAGAAGCACTTGTAAAGGTTTACAACCACTCATTTGAATGTTAATGCCATTCTGATAACTTGCAAAAATAAAGGTCTTGCAAAGAGACATGAAAGTTATGTCATTCTATGATAAGGATAACTTTGCAGTCCTGGAAATAAAAATGATTGGTCTGAGCATGTTTCTACTTGGTGTTAGGTTACCATAGCAACGAGTATTCAAGCACTGACATGTAATAGACTGTTTAGCTGCTTTGTAACAATTCCATTTGCTGTTTTTTAAGTACGTAGTAGCTTATGATGAGTGAAGAGACTTCTGTTTTCATGTCCTATTTTTACTTCACGAGTGGTGATATTTTTTGAATGTGTGAATTCTAGTTAGATTTTATCATTGAGTATCAATTAGTGTGTAGAGATTCAGGAGATTTTACTCAAAACAGGAACCTATAAGATTCCTATAGGATTCTGAAGATGGTGTATAACACACAGAGATACTGGGTTTATGGACTTTATCCATTGTCCTGGTTTTAAACCAGGGCGATGGATAAAGTCCGAAAACCCAATATCTCTATAAGATTCCTGTATGGACCAGTTCAGTAAACCAGTTTTATGTTTCTCAGTGTTAAAGATGGGAGTAAAGATGGTAAAACGTTCTTAGAAGTGGTGACTGCTGAACATACAAAACTAGTGGCGATGGTGAATGAAGTAGAAGGTGATGAAGCAAAGCCAGAAGCAAGGGAGGAACAGCCTGCAGAAGAGGGAACTAAAAAGAGAAGAGGAGAAGGGGAATTAGAAAATGAGCCTGCTCCCAAGGCCGCGAAGGTCGCCGCTCCTGACAAAGATGAGAAGAAGAAGGAGAAGAGGGATCCCAAGGCAACAGATATCATGGTATAGAACATTCAGGATAAATGGAACTGGAACATCAGGGTTATGCAGACACTGATGCTTTCACCAAATGCAGAAATACATGGAATTTGAAGTTCTTTTAGTGGTGAATATTAAGATTACAGTTTTATGGAGTGTTGTGCTGTGTAGTTTGGTAGAAATGCACTAATATTTTGGAGGAATCTGATGCCCCAATCTTCAGGGTAGAAGAGCAAGGCTGCAGTGGAGGCAGCAGGTTTCTCTGAAACATTGCTACCTGTCTACAGCAATAATGGTGTCACATCCCAGAAGATTGTAACCAGGATAGCAAATATTACAAGATTCATACTAATCTGATTTTAGTATCATGTTTTTCAGTCATTTCAGTAGAATTGCTGAATGGCATGAAAAAATGTACAGTAACAAGTGTTTTCAAAATATCTTGGAGCATAACTTACTGTGAATGAATCTGTGATCAAATTATTTTGCTCACTGCAACCCTTTGAAGCATGATATTCATGTGAATAATATTTAAAATTTAAATTAACTTCTACCAGAGTATGCAGTGCTACATCCCAGAAGATAATTCTCTTCATAATCAACATTGTTAGAATGTAGGATTTGAGGTTTTCACAGCAGACTGTGAAGAATGCCATCTTCTAGGATGTGGCACCGTATAGATCTTGTATGAACCAACATTTCGAAGGAATGTATCGCCTCCATCTTCAGGGTAGAAAATCCAGTGTGAGTAGGTGGCAGATATTTCTACCCTGAAGATGGAAGCGATATATTCCTCCGAAACGTCGGTTCATACCACATCCCAGAAGACAACATTCTTCAGCATTGTTAGAACTTCAGATCTTATGCAATTTCTCTACTTCAGAAGTGAAATATAAAGGTTCAGTTGTAGGTCGAAAAGGAATCTGGAAGGCAAGATAGGCACATATGTGAGATACTTTTAGGAAAAGTAAAATGATTTAAAAAAAGTGCATATGCTATTAGAAATATTGGGTTCATATTGTGACAAAAGCTAAGCAGCTTGGCTCAAGCAGTGACAGTTCTGACTTGTTCTAGGTAGTTGCCTGATTTGAATCCCAGCCAGGATACAAACTTTCATGACTGAGGTTTTTTGTGATTTTTCTCAGTCTGTCCAGGAAAATTCCAGGGTAAAACCTCAAATTAAGCCATTACTTTTTCCTTTTATGTCCTTTTCCAATTCATTGTTCATTAATAATTCCATTGTTCTATAATCTAAGCTACTGGCAGCAACATTAAATACAACGTATATAAATAAATATAGTGATAAAGTTTGGGAACCATTGATATGGAGGAATATTATTTGAAGTATATGATGATAAGTAATCAAAACTTTGTTTGTTGCAGTCATTGTTATCAATGCCATCAATTCGCGAGAAAGAAAACAAGAAAGTTGGTGAAGAGATACTTGATTTGCTGAGTAAGCCAACAGCTAAGGAACGATCACTGGCAGAAAGGTTTCGGTCACAGGGTGGTGAGAACTGCACCCTATGTTTTCATTATTCTCCCTTGAAGCGTAGAAAGAAGAACATAATAAGATAAAATTAATTTAAAAGTGCACATGAATAAGTCTAGGAAGCAGACTCCTTGAGCAGTTCATAGTTGTATACAGGTATCCCTTGATCTCACATTATGCAGTATCACTGTAACAAGATTTTGTAACTGATGAATATTGTTATGCACATGCACAATCACCTGGTATTCAACGATATGCATGCCCTTAGTCACTTAGATGTTGTCAGTCGTCTTTGTCTTTTTGCTGTCAAAGACCATGTAGCATCTCAAATGACATTTTGTCTTAATTTTACGCACTCCATAAACTTAAATGTTAAAAAGTGCCATAAACTTAAATGTTAAAAAGTGCCCATCATGAGAAAATGTAGAAGCAGTAACAAAAGTGGCAAGAAAGAGAGAAAATCTGTTACTCTTGAGAAAAGATTAAGTATGATTAAGATGTATGACCGTATTGACACATGGTTGACATAGTCAGTGCCATGGGAATTTCTGAATAAACTTCAAGAACCATAAGGAAACAAGCTGAAAAAATTAAATAAAGTTGCAAATTTCAATAGGAGTGACAGATAGCAAAATCATACATATTAGGGCACTGATCATGGAGAGATTGGAAAGGATGCTTGGCTTATTGGATTGAACATAAACTCCAGTGTGTCATTCAGGCTAGAGTTTGTTTGAGAATCTGAATGCTGTTGAGCCAGGTCTGAAAGTGCAGTCCTTTGACACCGGTGTTTGGTGGTTTAAACCTATTAAGTGGCATCGTGGATTCCACAGCCTTAAGGTAAAATGCGAAGATTCAGTGGCTGATTTAGTTGCTTTTGAGAAATTTCCCATGCCCCTTCAAGCAACAATTGATAGGCATCGATATTAGCTCAAGCAGGAATTCAGTCTGGATGAGACTGGTTGTTCTGGAAGTTGAGGCTGAGTAGAACGTTTGTCTCGGTACAAGAGAAGGTGGCCTCAGGATTTAAAGCTTCCAAGGATCATTACATGCTCCTGTTAGGTGGATATAGAATCATATGAATTGATTAATTGTACTCATAAGCTTGGGCTATGACAAGGTTATTTGAATCTTATTTTTCCCAATGAACACCTTTGTGAACTGAAGACAGAGAGTGAACATACCCCTTAAAATTCTTCCCCTCCTGGACACACCTCATGTACAGTATATGACAAATATGCAGTATTGAGACTTGCGCATATCGAACGCACATTTGCGTTTGTCAACAGGACATAGCTCCAGCCGCACATGTTCCCAGTAGTGAAAAGGAAGTTGTGTTGTGCAGTTGTTGTTGGAAATGGGTCTCTTGACGGTGGAAAAAGTATTCATAGTTTAGTATAATTTCCGCTCATACAGAAGTGGTCGCGAAAGGGGACTGACAGAACAATTCCAAGAGAGATTTAATAAGATGGCACCAAGTAAAAGTTATGCTGTCTATATTATGAAATCTCGCCATTCTCATAGTGTACTGTGTCAACGGAAAGGGAAGTCTGGTCGACCAGTAAGTATTCTGACAAAAGAGAATCACACACGTGTTCTTCAGCAAGTGCTACATTCTCCATGATGACGTCTACAATGAACGGCCTTGAAACTGAATGTCAGCGATATTTCCATTCGCCGATTGTTTAAGGACATAGGTGGATTTCTGTACCAGATACAGGTTGGACAACGCTTGATAGAGTCAGATATGCGAGCCAGGAAGGTGTATTGTGGAACATTTTTGGCCATGGTGTATGAGGATTCAGATTTCATGCAGATTGTGTGGTTCTCTGACAAAAGTCACATTCACTTGGATGGCTACATCAATCGCCAGACATCCCACTTCCTTGGTTTTGAGTGGCCAGATGTTATCGTCCAGAAACCCCTACATAGTACACGTGACGATTTGGTGTGCCATCTCAGCACACGGTATATTAGGCCCCTATTTCATTGAGGATGAGGAAGGCAATGCTCTTACCGTCACCCAAGAACGCTACAGGGACATGGTGATCGCTGATAGAGTGTATGTTAGTTTCTTTCAGGAGAAATAAACTCACAGATGACAACAAGGTAATATTGTTCATCTTTTCATTTCAGTACTGAAAATACTGTATTTCTGATACTAATGAGAACATTCATATAATGTTCCTGCCTCCAAACATCACATATCTTATTCAGCCAATGGATCAGGGTGTAATTGCCACTTTTAAAACTTATTATCTTCTGAAGATTTTCATTCAGCTGGTAAGGACATGACTGATGGCAAAGACAAACTTTCTGTGCAAGATATCTGGAGGACTTTTTAACATTAGAAAGGCAATTCACAACACCAGAGATGCATAGGCAGAAGTGTCATAGTCCTGTGTGAATGGAGTTTGGAGAAATATCTGACTTGATATAGTCATTAAGCCCCATGGCTTTGATCCTGACAAGGAGATTGATGATTTAAAGCAGGCCTGATGGATTTGAAGGTGTAAATGAGGCCAGTGTGGAGGGATTGTTTCATTCCTAGATGGAGGAACTCAGAAATTAAAATATTCTGTACCTGGAGAAAGAACTAAATGATGAAGATGAGGAATCTTTTGATTTAAAGCATGTTGAACAGCTTTCACCTAAGCATATCTACACTGCCAATGATGCCAACAGGGAGAGAAGTGCCGAAGCTGCTAGAGTGACTGAGAATGCTGCGGCTTGTTACGTAGAGCTGTGTAGCTGCACAGTTCTCTCTAATGCTTTTTCAAGAAAGTTGAATTTTGTCAATCCACTTGCACTGCAAGGGAGCCAGCCCAGCCTGCTCATGCTTCACACTCACCTGCATCCTTTGAGTTGTGTGACTAAATTATGTTCAATTTTTGTAAAGTGAGTAACATTAATAATGTTTTTGTAAAAAAGATCTGAATCACATTTCTCTGTTTTGGCATTCATCCCTATTAAACTCTTGTTAAAAATAATCCACTTTATGCAATTTCGCTTTATGTGGCAATTTATAGGAATCCATTAATCATATGTAAAGAGGGATATCTTTATAAAATTTGATGTTTCACAGCAGTGAAGGTTTATATTGTGGTCTTCTAGATTATGACACTGTATAGTTTGGCAGGTGGGTGTCACTGGTCACAGCAGGCAGAGGTCTTATACCCTGAAGATAGAGGCAGCAGGTTCTGCCAAAACAGTGGTACCAATTTACCAGGCTACATAGCATCACCTCCGTGAAAACTGTAATCCTAATATTTGCTTCTGTTGGAATCTCAGGTCTCAAACAAATTATTGTATATTTTTAAAACACTCTGTCATGTACTGATGTCGAATAAGATCTAAAAGTTTGTGACTGTGGTACGTTAGTACAAGTATTATGTTTTTGGACGATATCCATTGTCCTGTCTTTATCTAACAACATTATCCTATTGAACCAGACACTACATACAGGAAACACAAGGAATCAACCCACATGTCTCTGCTGGACCATCCAATAAGTCAACCCCGTTTGGACATCTGTCCCCTCTGGCCCCCCATTATCACAGCAGAAGAAAGGAAACTACAACTCCAAGTGTAGATTGAATGGGAAAATTTGTTTTTCTTGTGTTGTTACCATAAGCAGTATTTCTTCTGTCCACTGGTGATTTCTGTTGTGATAGTTCTCTGGTGCAAGGCATCATACATGTAGAGTTTTTAATAATTTAATGTTTTCTTAGCTCGTAGATGGTTTGTGCTCTTTGGCTTGTATACTCCATCTTACAGCTGGTACAGCCATCTGGAGATAGGGACTAGCTCTACCGATTGGGCCCAACTGAGTAGGTTTTACCTGAAGACGGAGACAGAATCCAGTCATCAAAACGTTTTGTGTTTTGAAAAATAAACAGGAAGGTGTTTATAGATAAAGACAGGACTTGGATAATGTCCAAAAACCTAATGTATGTACTGATGTCAAAGCTGTGATCATTGTGTTTCCTTGCTGAGTAGTAAGTGTCAGTACAGTGTATCAGCAAGTAATCTCCCATTTTTAATCCTACTCTATATGTATTCCTTCTACAAAGTGCAAGTGTAAAATGGAGAAGTCATGTCTGTCCATCTGAATATTTTATCTCCAAAGCCCCCCAATGGATTTTGATGAAATTTGATTTTGGAGGGGTTCACACCAAGAGTTGTTAGACTAAATGATTAGTTTTCTCACTACAGAACCCTGAATTCAATTCTGGGTCACCTGATTTGAGATTTCTGGTGGACAGTGGAACTGGAGGTCTTTTAGTGTCTTTGGTTTTCCCTTACTAATCATTTTGTAATTGCTCCCAGATCATCTATCACTGCCCCGTAAGGTGTATGGTAGCCCTGAGTAGCCAGTACATCACATCCTCAGTCCCTAAGATGAAGACTTCATCTCTGACTAGATATTTGGCTAATCACAGGATGAGGATTTTTAACAAGGCATATTGAAGAATGGCTTTTTCAGTTCAAGAACTTTCTCTCTAGCACTGTAATAACTGATAAGACTAGCCACTTTTGATAGTGCAGTAAAGTGTACTACCAGATTTACCTGACTGGAAGATGATTCTGAGTTAAAGACAGCCCCACACTTAGAGAAAGAAATTTTATAAATTAATATCATAATCTTACTACAAACACATCCTTTTCATCAGGTATACAGCACTTTTCTGATCTTTTGACTTTTCTTGTGGAGAGCTGTTGCCATGGTTTTGATCCACTGGCATAATGGTTGTACACTGGGCTTCTTTATTGTCCCAGTGGCATCAGAACGTAGTTCGCTACTAAGAACCATTCAGAATACAGTAATTTCAAAAGAACCATAAAAAGCTTCTTTGCTAGACTGAAATACACTGTCATTTCATCAACACCCTCTTGAAATGTGATGGTGACTTTTTGCAAGGTGTAACTGTAAAGAACACCTGCTCTTCTGTGTCAGGTGTACACACCACCCTGAGCTGGACGTAAAAATTCAGCCTGTCCTTGTTTAATGGCATAGCATGAAACTTTGAACCCATACAAACAATAGATTTGACATAGAGTCTGTATAAGTTTGCTTCCCGTTGTTTTCACCTATGGATGTTTTCCTCAGGAGATGCTGTACTTCCTTGCCGCTTCACTGTTTATTTTGCACATTTAATCATCAAAGTCTTTAAAGTATGAATCATAATGTTTCTTGACACAGTCTGCCTTCTTTTTGTTCAGTGACATTTATGTTGGAACAGAATCTTGTGACATAAACTGGTGAATTACTGTACTGCCTTTGTTTCATAATATTGATGCTATTTCAGGCACTTCTGAAACATACTGTCACATGTAGGAGGGTATGTGTGATGAAAATAACAGGTTCTAGTTTGGATGATTGGATTTGTTAGCACTTCGGTTACAATTTCCTTTCCAATCAATACAGCACTATCACTGATTTACACACTTTCCAGTTCACTGTTGCACACCCACTAGGATTTGTAACCCTTAAAAGGGGAAAAACTTGTCTTCCATTCAGACAAATGCAGTACTGTTTCTTTTTGAAATCAGATGCCAGCATGGAAAGCAAGAGCAGTTAGCAGAAAAGTTGTAAAATGTGAGAATGAAAGATTAATATTCAAGAATTGAGATCAGAAATCTTTTGTTTGTTCAATATCGAAAATTTGAGACTTTCATATGCCTGTTTTAAGCAATAAGTAATGACTTCTGTTCTATATGAAATACAGATTAATACTGTCAAATTCATGGAAAATGTCTCATTGTACAAAATGGTTAGTACATAACATAAAATACAGAGGCTGCTATGATTTGCAAACTTTGTGTAACATTTTTATAATTGGTAAACATTTAACAGAATCGAAGGAAATGTAATTGTTTCCCTACACACTGGGTGTCTACAGCGCAGTTAGTTTTACGACAGGTCAATTGAGATATGCAATATAAATATTTATATGTGAGATTTGAGGTTCTCATGACAGTGATTGTGAAGATTACAGTCCTCTGGGATGTGACAGTAGTTTGCTAGATGATTACCAGCATCCAGATCTGCCCTGAAGATGAAGACAGCATATTCTTCTGAAATTTTGTTAACCATCTACCAGATTACTGGGGGGCACCCACTAGCGTAGTTGGTTGAGGCACTATGCTACAAGCCAGAAGGTCGCGGGTTCAAGTCCCAATGAGGTCATTGGATTTTTTCCAATTGACCTAATCCTTCCAGTTGCACTGTGGCCCTGGGGTCGACTCAGCCTCTAACAGAAATGAGTACCAGGAATTAATTAAATAATTTTCCTGGGCAGTAAAGCGCGGCCAGCCCATACGGCTGACAACCTCACCGCCATCTTTGAGCCGACTGTCTAGATAGTGTGAGACCTTCAACGTCTCAACCCTATGGGCCTTCACGGTCTGTTAGAGGGATAGCTTTCCTTTTTTTATCTACCAGATTACAGAGGGTCATATCACAGAAGACCACAGTGCTGTGAGAATCTCAGATTTTATAATGTTGGCTCTACTTTCTTCGGTATTTATGTTTGTTTAACAGGTGCACAGGTGATGGAGTTCTGTCCACATGGAACTAAGGTTGAGTGTACCAAGGTGAATTCTGCTGAGCCATGTAAGAAATTACACTTCAAGAAAATAATCCAGAAACACACAGATGAAAGTCTTGGTGACTGCTCATTCCTGAACACCTGTTTCCACATGGATACTTGCAAGTATGTTTTTGTTTTACTAGCACAGAATGGTTTAACTAACTGTTGTTCAAAGGATACTTTTGCATATAACAGAAAATGTAACACTTTAACATGCATGAATTGTTTTAAATTAATTAACTCTGAAGGGGAGTGTATCCATTCATTATAAGTAGGCTTATATAATGAGTGCCAATTAGGATTAATTAGTTTCTAAGATACAACATTATAATTACACTCAAGAAGATAGTCACGTTGTAGTATTTAGAATGTGACATTCTTGCTAAGAGACAGGGTACTGCTCACTGTATCATTTCTTGGAATTTTTAATTGTTAGAGACCATGGCAAGCCCTTTAGTAATCTAAGAGATTGTCGTGTGTTTTAGTGACTTGTAGACGGGGTTACAATGTGAAAGGTTACTCTAACTATAACATGTAACAACAAAGAATTGTGACACTATAGTTATAACACACAAAGTGAAGTCTTCATTGTCAGCTTCCTTAATAACAAATGTGATCTTGTTAACAGTTTAACTACTGAATGCTCAAATATTGATGAATGCACGGCCTTTTTAATGCCTGAGAATCTATAGAGATCACCGCCTCATGAATCTGTCATCTTAGAATCTTGTGTTAATTCGGGGCAAAGCTTTGATTTATACAGTATATTTGTTGCTGTGGAAACGTGTTTTAGCTAACCGTTGTCTAGCAGTGGACGTTGTTGCTGTGCTTCTCTGACTGCACAGTGTTCAGGCGTCATGTCACAATATTCAACAGTTGGAGCTAGGTATAAATTATGAGAGTGTAACTTGCAACCCATGCAAATGGCTAACGTATCTAGAACAGTTAAAAAACGTTGACGTTTAGAATGATTAAATTCTTTCAGTAATCAAATTTCTTTGGAGGAAACATAATTCTGTTAATCCTTTAAATTCAGATTAGACCAGTAATGTAAGTTACTGGTTGCTGCATTTTGCTTCTTATAAGGAGTGCATTCTTGAAATCTCTCCAGGTTGGACATTTATGCTGTGTAGACACAATATTCTCATCTCTCAGTCTTAAGTATAATATTAGACTGTGGATCATTTTTGTCAGTAAATTACACTAACTGGTGTAACTTTGACTTGTCACATAATAGCATCTATAAAAGTGTAACTCAGTATAAATTAATTGGTGAAGGAAAAAAGGGAAAGATGTAATGTTATTAAAGTGAAGCCAGTACAAATGTTAACCAGATTTACCTAGTTTAAGTGTTTTCAGTGTGTGTCCGAATAAATATAACTACATGTAAAAGTAATCTGGAAGAGGTATTACTCTGTGGTGATAAGAATTAACTTAGTCCTTTTATTCGCCCTTAACCACCATCCCAAAGATACCAGCCTCCAGGTGACATGCAGATGCCAGCAGCGTTGATATTATATTTGCCATGACTAATAGTAGATATGAGATCTTTTCCTCAGGGATACAGGTGCTTTGGTGACCGGGATGAAGACGCACTTCGGGAGTTATGAATCACAGGATCACCAGAACATGACACCGTGTATTTGTAGCATTTAGTTAAATGATAAGTACAGTGATTATTGGTATGTTATATTAATCCTTACATATCCTGTGTGATTGTGAGGCCATAGCTTACTTAAGATTTTATCACCAGGGACAGTTCATCATGGTACCAAGTGACTTTTATTATGCCCCCATAAATAAAGTCCTACATTTAATTCAAAATGTAGGATTAATAAAGGGTTCATCCAAAGGGGAAGCACAGTAGATCAATGAAGGTCGCAGTGCGAGGGCCGGTTTTTATGGCCCACCCTTACATACATACACACACACACACACACACACACAACACACACACACATATTAATCCTCCCTTAAGCTTGCACCTCATCGATTACACTTTTGTCGTCATTATCACTTTAATTCCAAATATCACTAGCCTTTGTAATGATTGTCTCTACACCATCGTTGTCACTGTCCGATCCTTTTGACCATCATTCTTTTAATTCTCTGTTCAACGGTGCACCTCTCGTAACTACATCACTATTCCACTAAAGAACTGAAAATCTGACTTCCTACTCACTACTTACTGTATACGACTCCAACTGTAAGTAACTTGTCTTCCACGGTAACTAACTATAGCCCCTCTATATCTGACTGGGCCTAACTTTATCTGACTCCAACTGTCACTAACTGTCCCTCCCCCCCAGCCATGACTTCTTTTATAACATCCAGGTCGCTTCAAGTTACAAGCACCTAAGTGGTCATTAATAGAAAATGGAGATGGCCAAGGTCTGATGCTGGGAGCCTGTCCCACATTTGGTTTGAGAGGAGATGTTTATCTTTAAACTTCTTTTCAGGTTTCAAGGTACAAGTGCAATTAATTTAAGACCCCTCTGGGCAGGTTTTGCTCAGCATCAAATAAGACTGATTTTCCAGAATACCTTCCTAGCATGACGGAAGATAATATTTAAAACAAACTGATGGTGCTAATGACAATTGTGGTGCCATGGAGAGAATACCAGACTCAAGATAGACATATGAGCCTGTTTCCATGACCACCATTGTCGCTAAAAGTCCAACAGAGGATTGTATTGAATGACAGTTAGATGGTCAAGGCTACACCACTGTGCCTCAGGTACGTCTCTCATTCTCGCAGGGAAAATAAGTGGACTTGCCACAGTTAAACAATTTAAGCGAGGGAAGTATGGTTAGATCCTTTATGAGCCAGGCCCGACAAGACCTTGAGACAGAATTCATATCTACTATGCTGAGTAGTCGACCATTCCAACCACTACTTTCACCTGGAGACATTATCCTTATTGTAAGCAGCTATCCCGGCTAACTGGCACCCAACCTCCAATACTACCTCCCTGTATCCATCATTGCAGCTACTACTAATAAGGAAAGTGTGAAGCAGGTCATTGAAGGTGTCTTCCATGTGAGTGGAAGTGCATAGAGGTAACGATGAATGACAACTTTTAAGTGATTCTGTTGCAGCATATTCTCCACCTTATGTGTGGGCCTTGGCAGAGAGGTATTACCAGCATAGTTCTGCTACAAAAGCGCCTCCCAACTCATGGCTACATGCGTCAGAAGCATTGCCGACCACAAGTGAAGTAGGGAGCAGCTACAGGATGGGGGTTTGTGGTTTAACGTTGGCCTGGACATTATGTTTTTATAAAGAGAATTTACATGCCAGAATCACCAACTCATGTCCTTTTAAAGATATTCCTCTTTACACTAATACTTTTTTTCATCATTCTGGCAAGTTACTGATGCCAGCAGCATAGAAGGTTATATCTGAACTGTGTAGCCAGTTCTTGTCACCACATTTGAGTTCGTCAGGTTGAAATTTCTTTTTTCCTTGATGCACTTTTGTTGGTTCAAACAAATGACTAGCACTGGGGAGTAAGTCTGAAGTCAGGTGTGTAAGGACGGGGGTTCATGATTTCTCAGCCCATTGTCACCTTCATCAAATCTGCCATATTTTGGATGAGCATTGTCTGCTGAATTGCTTAGTATGTGCATTAATTGTTACACCATGTGGAAGAAAATCAACATCAATCACTCGTTCTGAACCCCGAAACACACTTGCCATGATCTTGCCAGCTGACAGCTGTGACTTGAATTTTTTGGGCCTCCAGGAAACTTATTGTTACCAGTCATACACAGTTGCATGTGATATGGCTTCTTTTCATACTGTGCATTAAACCTACAAAGAATTTCTGCTGATTAGGAATTGATGGTGCAGTGCTGTTCTATGCTAGGAGTGACATGGTCTAATGCCATATTCTACTGGTGTAATGCACAGAAGCCAGGCACATGGTCACCTGCCCTGCAGCAAGTGCAGTTTCCATGTCATCATCATCATCAGTAATCTGTCAAGACGACAGGTCCACNGTCCATGTATTCAAGAAAAAATCTTGGTCATGTAAGATATGGCCCCATGAAAATTTGCTTGACATTTGTATCTGGGATGCATGCCAGTTCAGTCACAGTTCCTTGATATAGCCAACCCTTCTTTACTGTGCATTTAAGAGTGTGAGAAATATCTCCTGTACTGCACTGTGCCCTATTCCAAGTTTTCGGGCTATTGTGGCCACAGTCACACACCTGTCATCTTGAATGATCTCATCCACTCTTTCCTTGTGTTCAGTTGAGGCTGTTCGAGGACGACCGCTCCGAGGCTCATCTTCGATGCTGCTGTTCCAATCTTTAAAATATTTCACCAATCTTCGAACACTGCTCGCACCCATGCACACTTCCATAAGCACACTGAAGTCTCTGGTGAATTTCTGCAGCAGGGATTTCCTGTTTCACAAGAAATTCGATGACAGCATGCTGGTGAAATGACATATTGTTGTCTGCCATTTTGTTAGGAGTGATACTGATCACATGGTGCAAGCTATTGACATCACAAGACACTCAAGGTTAACACAACAGCTGGTTCCACCTACCACCATACTCTCTTTCGTGTGCTGTTCGCAGGTTGCATGCCAAAAAAAGTTGCTCATGACTTTTGGTACGACCTACATACGTACATCTACACACTGCTACAATATACTAGACTATACTATATGTATAATGGGTCCCTTGGCACCACTTCATGGCATGTTCTCAGGTTTCAGATTGAGGAGACTTGCTGCTGATATGGAGGGTAGCTCCGAATATGTTGAATAAACAGTTGCAGACACCCAAAAGGTGTCATCCTCCAACCAGAGTTTTAAGCAACAGTCTTAACAACAGCTTGATATAAACAACAGTATATTAATGAAATATTGTGCAGAGGATTCCTGGAATAACCTGAGCAACAGAAAGTGAATATGAGATTTGGTGAATCTATTGGTCATGCTCATTGCAAACTGTACCATGAGAACTGGCAAACTCTATGTTGGATTTAGTGGCAATACAGGATGTCAGATAGGACAAGGGTGGCGCTTGATCAGCAGATGATTGTACATTTTTATATGGAAATGGAAATGAGGACACAGTAGGGAACATATTGGCAGTTAAGGTGCTCGAGTTTGCAACTGGTAGGATGTTATAGGTAGTACTAAGAAATTGCTGGTATGATGTTGCTTCAGCTGGTCACACTGATGGTACAAGGGATAAGCTTAATGAACTGTCAGTTAATATCAATTCCCTAAATAGGCCCATCACATGAAACATTGTTATGTGATTTCAATGCCAATATACGGAGGAAAAATATTTTAAAACTGACAATTTGGAACAAGCAGTTAGGTGAAACTATTAATGATAATGGAGTTAGAGCAGTAAACTTTCCCACATCCACGAATTTAATTGTGAGGAGTACAGTGTTACCACATTGCAATGTTTATAATTAATTTTGTTCTTTCCCTTATAGTAAGATCATTCTATCTCAGATGGTTTCCCACCTTACTTACTTATGGAGCTGAGCCCTTCTTGAGGAGAAGCCAAATCTGTAGCTACTCAAGAATTTCCCAGCATTTTATGGAACCTGAAGGTTCATTACCATGTTCACAAGAGCCCTCCACTTGTCCCTCTTCTGAGCCAGATCAATGCAATCCATACAATCCCATCCATCTCTGAGATCCATTTTAATATTGTTCACCCACCTACGCCTTGGTCTTCCCAGTGGACTCTTTCATTCTGGCTTTCCCATCAACATTCTTTATGCATTCCTCATTTCCCCATTCGTGTTGCAGTGTCCTGACCATCTCATCCTCCTTGACTTGATCACCCTAATTATACTTGGAGAAGAGTACAAGTTATGAAGCTCCTCATTATGCAGTTTTCTCCAACCTCCTGTCACTTCATCTCTCTTTGGTCCAAATATTCTCCTCAACACCCTGTTCTCAAACACCCTCAGTCTATGTTCCTCCCTTAATATCAGAGACCAACTTTCACACCCATAGGGAACCACGGGCAAAATAAGTCTTCAAATAGCTGGTGTACTGTCTCATTGTACGCCCATTTTTTCTCCAATATCTGATGGATGCAAAGGTTTCCCACCTATGATGTTAAAACTATTGGGTCTCAGAAGAACAATATGTTGTATCCCATTTAATGGTGTCCAGCATAAAAGGGTATCCTTCCCAAGAAGAGCAATTTTAAGAACTCTTGTCACACATTTTACTCAATAAGTTTTTGTTGGATATATTGTGACGTATTTGCGCTATGCAGGACACCCCCTCCCCCGCCAACAGTGACATAACAGCTTCGGAGCACTTCTGCTACTACGGTAACAGGCCAGTCAACACTCCGCCCCCTCCTGCGCTGATGTAATAGCACTTCCCACTGTGATGTAACAGGGGACCACCACTGTAAAAGAAATTGGAAAGGTATTTACAAGTAAATTTGTTGGGACCAGGCCATTGTCTTGTAAAAAAGAATTTACCTGGCCGCAGTCTCACAAAGGTGAGAAACACTGGCTTAGAGGAGCTGACTGTGACACTGATCAGTATCTGAAATTTGTAGAAGTCGTGGAGAAACCATCAGTGGATGAATGAACAGCATGGAAGTTTCATATGGATGGAGTCAATCTCAAGAAGCTAAATGTTGTGAAAGTGAAACAGTAGAGACCAATTGGAAGACTAGGAATAGTTTGGAAGTTGGAAGACAATATTAAAATGGAGGGTATGAATTGGATTCCTCTGGCTGAGAATGGAGATGAGTGGCGTGCTTTAATGAACATGACAATAAACCTTTGGTTCCATAAAAGGTGGAAAATTTCTTGATTGGTTGAGCACCTATTTGCTTCTCAGGAAAGATTCACTGAATGGCACAGTTGAATAGATAGTGTTTCTGATTTTTTTAGGAGGTTCCAGGATCATATCTTGGCCTGGAGACTAGCTATTCTGACAGGTTTCTGTCATTCAATCAGTCCCTCCTGGAAAATGCTGTGAGAGGACCTCAAATTAGGCCACAAGTGCCAACATAGTAGTCATTCTGTTATTCAGTTCTGTGTAATCTGAGCTATTGGCAGCATCAATAAATAATCTGTGTGTGCGCATGCACACGTGTGTAAACACACTGGGTACTCGATATTCTCACATTTCAGTCATAACATCCAGTAGTGACAAAATACAAGATGAAGGTGTCCAGAAGCTCTTCTACTCGTAAATAAGCATTTTCATGTAAATGATGACAGCTGACAACAGAAAGTCCATTACTGGGAGGTTCACCTTCTGGCAGAATTCATACTACCAGCAACCAGCACATGAAGTGCTTTATTGGTACATTGTTTTACCATAATTTTCTATTTCAGCATTACAGTGTAGTGTTTATTGTAGGTTATTTAATGACGCTTTCAGTATGAAGGCTGTGTCAGACTTTATGATGACTGCTGAACTGGTAAGGATTTGAAAATAAGTGCTTGTGGTTTAATTGAGATATTGTCCCTGTCCGGAACGACTGAGAAAACCACGGAAAACCTCGGTCATTTTATCTGAAGTGCTAGTTAAGATTCGAACAGAGCGTGTATCAGATAGAAGTCTTAGAGTCATAAGAGGTTAAACAGTTCCATCCAATGTGACTAGTAAAGATTTTTTTTTTGTATTATTTCAATCCTTCATCCCTTACATGTTTTGGTCTTTACATACCATCCTCAGAGGGGCATCAGTACTATCGGAAGCCACCGTTACAATATTTTTTGAATGCTAAAATATATACATATAATGTTGATAAAATACAATGGACATAAAATCTAATGTTTTAACAAGTACAGCATCCATCTTAATATGTTAAAATATTTACATTTAGTTTGATAACATTTTTGTTGGAAATTGTAAACCAAGTTGGTTTGTGTCCTTTTTATTATTTCTTCTCTTGAAGGGGGCCAGATGTGTACCTCCTTGTAGTTCTTGAGAAGAGGATTCTGCAAATATATTATGGGTGTATTGTAATATTTCAGCAAACTCTATTTTGTTTTTATGAGAGCTTTTGATATTTCATCCTACTTTTAATGTCATCCTGTAGGTGTTCGTGGCGCGCTGTGTTATACTGTTCTAGGGTGTGTTGAGCCACGTATTTATACACCTTGTGTCCATTATGTTTGTGTGGGCGTGTACTGATGTTTTATTATGATGTTGAACATGTTACGCTGTTTATTGCTTTCTTTTGTATGTTTTTGTTCTATCAATTTATTGAATTTATTAAAGCGATATATATATATATATATGGGAGTTTTCTTTTATATTTATGATGCTCCCTTTTTTGGCATTTTCAGCCATTTCCATGATTACTGTCATAGGTCGATACTGGTGGCATTTATTTAGTATATGTTGGGCAAATGCCAATTCATCTTTGTTTAGTCTTTTTCTTATGTGTTCCTTATATCTTGTTAGATTTCTACCAGTTTGGCTGATGTATTCTTTTTGACAGCTTTGGCAGGTTATTTTGTATATCCCACTTTGTTCATAGGGGTTTGTTATGTCTAGACCAGTCTATTCAGTATGATTTTATTGTATAGAGAGTAATAAATAGAAGAAAAACTCTGCTGGGTGGCCTTACATGAAGTCTGAGTGGTGTTTCAAGTGATGAGACTGCTTGGTGTCCCATTTGGCATCATACCTTAATGACCACCTAATTTACTACTAAATATTACAGTGTAGAGGTTAGCAAGATGCTGATATGGTAATTAAGAATCAGGCGATGACATTTTCATCCAACAACCTTCCTAAGTCATATTATGTATAAAAATGTAATTTTTCTGTTTTTGTTTCCCAATCCAGACATAATAGACAACACTCGTGGATATCACAAAGTTTACTCTTCATTCTTGCCATATGTATGGTCACAGCTGAGTTTAGGGATAGAAGCTTATCATTTGTAGCTACTTGATATTTGATGCTCTTTAACCTGTGCAGCTGCTAACCAATATTAAATACTAAACATATTTATTAATTGCAAGTTAATGAAAATATTTGTCGGTATTCCCTTTTTAAGATATGTTCACTATGAAGTGGATGGGCCCACAGTGCAGTTTGTGAAAGAAGCTGGCAGCAATAAAGTGGAGAGCGTGGAGGTGAAAGCACTCGGTCGCACACAGCAGGACATGACGATACTGTACCCTCCCCAGTGGGTGCAGTGTGACCTCCGCTACCTTGACATGACAGTGTTAGGTCAGTGCACAACTTCATGACTTGAAGCTATCTTGGCGGCAAGAAGTGATGGAACCTTCTGAGGAGACCAACTTTGTCAATTCACAGTATAAGTCTAATCTTTCAGAGACCTTCATGGTCTCCATTGTCAGAGATCATACCCTGTTGATGGAGGCAAAGAAAGTCTCTGAAACATTGACTATTGCTTTCATTTGGTGCAGCTTGTCCCTTGAAGAATTTGTCATTTCGTAGAAGGTATAAAATTATATTACTGGCCTTGTTTAGTCTGTGAAATGATAACAGAATTGGTGTGTAAGTAAATGATAATGGGACTGTCCAATTCAGTTGCAAAGTTATTTTCTATATATGAGTAAAATTAGGATTTAATTCCATCAAGTGCAGCATTTTCAGCTTGGGAAATAGCCAAAAGTGAGTTGCTCATGGCATCGTCCCCAAAAGCCTGTTGAATCTTGCAAATGGTTTCCACTTGGATATCGCCAAGCTTTTGGCAAAATTTGATGCAATATCTCTACCCATGTTCCATCATTTTACACCTTACTGGAATCCGACAAGCGCTCACTACATGTCCTCATTCATAGGCCGACTGCCAGCGACTGACGCTTTCTGTGGGCGGGAAAAAATTCACGACTATGCATGAATGTCCCCTCCACATCTCCACCAAAGGGAGCCTCCCGCGCTTCATTGGTTTACGTGGGAAAAAACAAGGTTCGATACCTTTTGAACACACCACGTATATTTTGTTAAAAGTAAAAGGATTTCCGAATTGACTAGAAGCTGTGAGTCTCAATGATGGTCATGTTCCTTGTTTCCTATACATTTGAATAGAGAATTACCAGTATTCTGAGGAAGTTGGCTCAAGGGATAATGCCTCATCTTGTATTCACGAGGTTCCAGTTTGAATGGTGGTCAGGATACCAACTATCTCCACTTAGGTTTTTTTTGTGATTTTCCTTAGTCCCTTAAAGTGGATGCCAGAATAGTACCCATAATTTGGCCATGACCACTTTCTTCCACATCTTTTCAAATTCACTGTTCATTAAACATCATTAAATAAATCATAAGTAAATACAATGAACATTCCCAATTAACAGCTCTTAATAACTCTAAAATCTGCATTACACGTGATAGTTCTACAGTATTGTATCCAGAAATACAACTTAAATATAATAATTACATCAGAATCCACTTGCCCATAGGGCTGTTGTCTCACAATATGCCCTATACAAATACTTGTAGAGAGGAAATTAAGACCCTAAGGAGGATCTGAGGTGCTCACAGCAGTGAGTATGAGTATTAAGATAACAGTTTTCTCTGATGATGCTGTGTAATTTGATTTGTACAGAGGGGGCCACAGAATGATTGCACTTTTTTGTTGCTTTAATGCATGCTCCCCCCTCGTTGGTGTCTCCACCTTATCGTGGTGTGGGGGTTTGAGTATGCCAAGGACACCGAGAGCTATACCAGCGGTAGCGTAGCTACTGGCAGGGCCTCCCTTGCTGGAAAGGTCAAAGGGTAGGCATCAGACGAAGACAGACACCAAAAACTGATGCCGGAAGCAGCGTCATCAGTAGCGACTTGAAGCACAGAGCAAATGATGCTCGAGATGGTTCAAGTTTGTATAGCAGCAGGTGTGACCAGAGTGGTTTGAACGGCTGCTGTACTGCGATGTGGAAAGCAAATGGAAAAACTACCACATTATCACTTTTCCTGGATAGTCTCTTTCCAAAAACAGAGATACCATGTGTGCGAGATGTTTCCTCTGGAGACAGAACAATCCGGAGGTAAACTACTCCCCCAATCGGATCTCCGGGGGGGAGTGTTTCTAGAGGAAATGTCATGCAGGCGTTACAACAAGAAAAAGTGCGAAGATCAGCAGAAACATCATGGATACAAGATTGGAACATGGAATGTAGGGACCTTGAATCAAGCAGGCAAATTGCAGAATCTGAAAACGGAAATGGAGAAGAATGAGGTGTCTGTTCTAGGTGTCAGTGAAGTGCGATGGAAAGAACAAGGTGAAATAAGAAGTGGTGGTTATACAGTGTATTATTCCGGAGGTGAACGGGCTGAAAGAGGAGTGGCAATAGTGGTGCATAAAAGTGTAGTGAGGAGTGTTGTTAAGAAGATTGCTTGTAATGACAGAATTATTGCTCTGAAGTTAAAGGCGGAACCGGTAGATATACTGATTATACAAGTGTACATGCCAACATCAGAGTATGAAGATGATGAAGTGGAAAAAGTGTATGACACAATTGAAGAAATTCTTCAGGAAGATGGAAGAGGAGACACAAACAGCATCATATTGGGAGACTGGAACAGCATTGTTGGAGATGAACCATATCAGAATATTGTTGGATCACATGGACTAGGAAGACGGAATCACAGGGGTCAAATGCTTATTGACTTTTGTGAACGAAATGGACTGATTGTTACCAACACTTGGTTCAAGAAGCCAAAGAGAAGAATTTACACATGGAAGGCACCTGGGGATTGGAAGAGGCATCAGCTGGACTACATCCTTGTGAAACATCGATTCAGAAACAGTGTGAAGGATGTGAAGACGCTTCCTGGGGCAGACAAACTCTGACCATAAAACTTACTGGTTGCCAAGTTCCGAACCAGGTTGAAGAAAAATATAGGATTTCAAAAGCGCAGACCTAGATGGGATTTTGAGAAGTTATATGCTCAAAGACAAAGCGTGCAGGAGACTGTAGAAGAGAAACTTGGTGCAATTGAAGGTGAAAGCGGAAATGCTGAAGTGCAGTGGAACAATATAAAAGAATGCATGTTAGATACTATCAGTGATTTGGTTGGTAAAGTTGAGAAGATAACAAGAAAACCGTGGGTTACACAGGAGATGATGAGTAAAATGGAGGAACAAAGGAAATAGAAGAATGTAAACAATGAAGAAGGCAGCAGGAAATACAAGAGACTGAGGAATGAATTGAAAAGAGCCACGGACAGGGCCAAAAAGGAATATCTTGAGAAGATATGTAATGAGATTATAGAATTTCAACGAACAGGACGTTATGATTTGATGTACACGAAGAGAAAAGAACTAGGATAGAAAGAGAATCATGGGATTCAAAATATTGGCATCGAAGACTCCCAGGGGAATAGAATAGTAGATCAGAGGCAAGTGCTGAAAATTTGGGAAAATTATATTACAGAACTATATGATCGACCTAATCGGCCAGAAACCTTAGAAGTTGAACCGGAAGAAGAAGTAGATACAGACGAGAAAGGACCATATATTTTACAAAGTGAGGTGGAAAAAGCTATCAAGGAAATGAGGAAGGGAAAGGCTACAGGAGATGATG